GAATTTTCTTAAACCCACAGTATAATTTTTTTTTAAAGATTTTATTTATTTATTTGAGAGAGAGAGAGAGAGAGCTCGCGCACATGAGAGGGGGGAGGGTCAGAGGGAGAAGCAGGCTCCTTTGCTGAGCAGGGAGACTGATGTGGGACTCGATCCCGGGACTCCAGGATCATGACCTAAGGCAGTCGCTTAACCAACTGAGCCACCCAGGTGCCCAAACCCACAGTATAATTAACATCTAGATTTATTTCATTTAATTGTGTCTAGAATTAGGGTTCTCGGTGTTTCTTTGGCTCACAGACTCTTTTAGGAATCAAAGTTATGAAACTTTCCAGAAAATACATGTACACACAGAATTTTGTGATTCTGTTATGCCATAGAGTTGTAAATCAAAAGAGCTTAAGAACCAGTGCTTTAGACGTTTAACTTTAATTTGTGGAGAAAGAAACGTAAACATAAAAATTAAAATATAAGGTGATAAATGTTATAGTGGGGATCCATGGGGCTAATTTTTGTAATTTTGTCTTTCATTAGGCTTAAAATCTTTGAATCAAAAAGACAGACATATATAACAGAGTTACTTACCCCTTTATTTAGCCTATTTCAGATGAAGGCAGGCAGGCTACTTAGGAAAACTCTACACTGGAACCTTTCTTTTTTTCCTTCGGTCTTTCAAGATTTTGATTGATTGATTGAGAGAGAGCATACTCCTGCAAGAGTGAGAGGAGGAGCAAAGGGAGGAGGAGAGAGAATGGCAAGCAGACCCCATGCTGAGTGAGGAGCCCGACATGGGACTCGATCTCACAACCCCGGAGATTATGACCTGAGCTGAAACCAAGAGGTGGATGCTGAACCGACTGAGCCACCCAGGCACCCCTCATTTCTAAGTTGTCCTTAGATAATTTCTTTTATAGTTGTAAACTTACAGTCTCTCAGAACATAAATAGTTACAGGGCAATGCTGACTAACACATGACATAAATATCGTGTATAGGACCGAGCACATAAGGGAGGCATTTGATGAATGGAACAACTGAAAATATTTTGTAAAGGCTTATAGACTTTTAGCCTGATATCCAGAGACAGTAAGAAAATGGCACAAAGACCAGGTAGCTTTCACCATAGTATCTCAAGTGAAGCTAAAAGTAATGGCACCTATTTTCTTTTTTGTGTGTTGTAAGTACATACAGAATAAAATTTACCATCTTTTCTTTTTTTACTTATTTATTTGAGAGAGAGAGAGAGGGAGAGAGCATGAGTGGGGGAGGGGCAGAAGGAGAGGGAGAAGCAGGCTTCCCGCTAAGCAGGGAGCCTGACTCGGGGCTCGATCCCAGGACCCTGAGATTATGACCTGAGCTGAAGGCAGACCCTTAACCGACTGAGTCACCCAGGCGCCCCTAAAATTTACCATCTTCATCATCATTTTTTTTTTTTTATTTGACAGAGAGAGAGATCACAAGTAGGCAGGCAGGCAGACAGGCAGAAGGAGAGGGAGAAGCAGCGGCTCCCTGCTGAGCACGGAGCCCTATGCGGGGCTCGATCCCAGGACCCTGGGACCATGACCTGAGCCGAAGGCAGACGCTTAATGACTGAGCCACCCAGGCGCCCCCAGACTTTCTTTTTAAGACTGAATAATAATCCCTTTTATATATAGACCACATTTGATATATTCATTCATCCCTTCATGGACATTTGGTTCACTTCTACCTTTAGGCTATTGTGAATAATGCTGCTATGAACATGTGTGGAGCAAATGTCTCTTCAACATTCTGCTTTCAATTCTTTTGGATATATACCAAGAAGGGGTATTGCTGGATCATGTGGTAGTTTTTTTAGTTTTCTGAGGAAATGCCATTCTGTCTTCCAAGGCAGTTGCAACATTTTATAATCCTCCGAACAGTGTACAAGGGTTCAAATTTCTCCACATCTTACCAACACTTGTTATTTTCTGTTTGTTTTTGATAGTAGCCATCCTAAGGGGTTCGAGGTGATGCTGTAGTTTTTATTTGTATTTCTCTGATAATTAGTAATGTTGAGCATCTTTTTGTGCTTGTTGCTTGTTTGTATAACATTTTTGAATGACACCTATTTTATTTTTAATTTATTTTTATTTAAAAAATTTTAAAAGATTGAGAGAGAGAGCATGAGTGGGGGGAGTACTTTATCTTTTAACAGATCAATATTTAGGCTTGTCTTTCTTCATTCTATCTTAGTTGGAGGCATTGTTAGTGACAGAATTACAGAATTTCTTCCATAGGAGATGCAATATAAGCATTCTGTGCCTCCCACCAAGCATTGCAGCAGAGACTTTTCTCATGTCCGTGTTTTCCTACTAATCTTGGAGCTTTATGTCACTACTGCCTGGGAGACCAACGAGAAATGCCTCTTTTGAAAATGGTCCCCTAAATTTCAGAGCTTTTCTCTCCCCAGCTCTCCCTGAGATCCAGAAGTACAGCCCACACAGTGAGCTATTTTAGTGAGTGTAAAATATTTTTATGTGGTAAAACTATAAAAGGTAAGTTACAGATAAATAAATCTCATGTTACTTGGATAGCCCATGACAAATTTAAATTTTTCTTCTAAGCAGATCCTAATTTACCACTTCTTGTAGCTGCAAACCTTGAGAATCCCTAAGATGGCACAGTCCTTTTCATGGTTTAGATTCAGCTCTCTTGGTTGCTTTATTTGGTACTCCCAGATCCACAAAAGAATTTGGGGAGGAGGGCTTTTGCCAAACTGTTTATGTTATGAACTCTTCTTTAATTACCAAGTAATTTTTTTGAAGATTTTATTTATTTATTTATTTGAGAGAGAGTGAGAGAGAAGGAGCAGGGGGAGGGGCAAAGGGAGAGGCAGAAGCAGAATCACCGCTGAGCAGGGAGCCTGGCGTGGGTCTTGATCCCGGGACTCCAATATCATGACCTGAGCCAAAGGTGGCCGCTTAACCGACTGAACCACCCAGGGGCCCCACTAAATTTTTTTTTTAAGGTAGAAGTAACTAGACATTGGGGGCGGGGTGATGAGGAAGAGGAAATCATTTCTCTACTTTTGAGAGACAAATGACAAGTACAAGATTGACCTCAAGGGACACCTGGTGGCTCAGTCAGTGGAGCATGTAACTTGATCTCAGGGTCATGAGTTCAAGCCTTACGTTTGGCATAGGGCTTACTTTAAAAAGAAAGAAAGAAAGAGAAAAGGACCTCAAATTATTATTTTTGTTCTTATTTTTTAATTTTTTAAAGATTTTATTTATCTGACAGAGAGTGAGAGATCATAAGCAGGGGGAGTAGCAGAGGGAGAGGGAGAAGCAGGATCCGCACTGAGCAGAGAGCCGTACTCGGGGTTCAATCCCAGGACCCTGGGATCATGACCTGAGCTGAAGGCTGACACTTAACCGACTGAGCCACCCAGGTGCCCCAATTGCTAACATTTTAAACACTTAGTATGTGTGAACACTTGGCTAAGTCTTTATATAATAGAATAATTTGTAATCTATTAATTAGGTACCATTATCTCTATTTTACAAATGAAAAATAGGTATGGAAAGAATAACTTACCCAAGGTCAAACATTTAGTGAATGATAAACTCACTAATTTACCTTAATTCTTCTTCTTCCTCCCCTCCTACTACTGGTAAACTTTTTGTCAGGTTCTCTCTCTTTTTTTTTTTTTTAAGACTTTATTTTAGGGAAAGGAGGGGCAGAGGGAGTGGGAGAGAGAATCCCAGACTCAACTTTTAGCACAGAGCTCAGCACATAGCTTGATCTTACAAACCTGTAAGATCATGACCTGAGCCAAAACCAAGAGTCGGACACTTAACCTATTGAGCCACCTAGTTGCCCTAGGTTCTTTTTTTTTTAAAGACCTGGGTACTTTGCTCTAAAAGAACTGCCTCATTATTGGTAGCCATTGAACAATTAACTGTGTTTGTTTTTCTTTTTAAGTAGGCTCCATGCCGAACATGGGGCTTGAACTTACGACCCTGAGATCGGGTCACATACTCCACCAACTGAGCCTACCAGGTGCCCCTCTCTTTTTTTTTTTTTGGAATTTTTTTAAATCCCCCCCCCCCCACGGTTTTTTTTTTTTAGTTGAAGTATAATGGACACACAATGTTACATTAGTTTAAGGTGTGCCGCATAGGGTTTCAACTTTTGGACAACTGATTTTAGTTATTTGCGGGCCACAAACCCCTTTGAAAACCTGATAAAAGTTGTAGATTTCTTTTTCCCCAGAAAAATGCATGCCACACAAATTTTTGCATAAAATTCAATCTGGACATGTCCTTCATGAAGACTGTTTGTGGACCCTAGAATAGTAATTATCAATTCTTAATGAGTATATAAATCACCTGTCTTGCTTTTTAAAATGCATATTACTTGGTCTCACTGCCTAAAGCTTGGAGTTGGAGTTATAATCTGCCCTTTTAACAGTATTTCAGATGATCTGGATGCAGGAAGTTTTAAGCATACTGTGTACAATACTCTGAATCTCTCCTGAGATTCAGCATCTTGTTATTCCACTGCTGTATTTTTTGTTTTTGTTTTTTAAGATTGTATTTATTTGAGAGAAAGACAGTGAGCGTGGGCATGAGTGGGGGTGGAGGGGCAGAGGGATAGGGAGAAGCAGATTCCTCGCTGAGCAGGGAGCCCAACTTGGGGCTCTATCCAAAGACCCTGAGATCATGACCTGAGCTAAAGGCAGATGCTAAACTAACTGAGCCACCCAGGTGCCTCTATACTGTTTTTTAATAGAATTTTCTCTCTGAATGTTTTTTTCTTTACCCATTTAAGAAAATGGCTTAAAATAAATTAATCATTTAAAGATTTTCCCATAATTCCTTTTTTTTTTTTTAAAGTAAGCTCTATGCCCAGGGTAGAGCCCAATATAGGGCTTGAACTCACAACCCTGAGATCAAGACCTGAGCTGAGATCAAGAGTTGGACACTTAACCAACTAAGCCAACCAGGTGCACCCCCCCAATAATTCTTTTTATTTGTAGGATGAACTTTCTGATGTTAGCCAAGGAGGATCTAAAGCTACTACTCCAGCATCAACAGCTGCGTCAGATGTGGCCACACTTCCTACTGATACTCCCTTAAAGGAAGATAATGAAGGATTTGTGAAGGTTGCAGATACACCAAATAAATCAGAGATAAGCAAGCATATTGAAGTACAGGTAGCCCAAGAAACTAGAAATGTATCAACAGGTAAGCGGCCCTAGTTCTTTACTTTCTGGTAAAGATCATGTGGGTTTGAAAAGATACATCTTAGGGGTGTTACTGCTTTAGATTTATAAAATCATACTCAATTATAAGTAAGCTTAAAAGGGGTGATGATCAAATAAAGTTTTGGAGAGACAGATTTGGGGAGCTGTAGTATTGGAGAGCCTGAAAGGCAGGAGAATAGTCTTCATCTTTAATTTCTCTGTATTTCACCCCTTAATTTTTTTTTTTTTTAAGATTTTATTTATTTATTTGACAGAGAGAGACAGCGAGAGAGGGAACACAAGCAGGGGGAGTGGGAGAGGGAGAAGCAGGCTTCCCGCCGAGCAGAGAGCCCAATGCGGGGCTCAATCCCAGGACCCTAGGATCACGACCTGAGCTGAAGGCAGACGCTTAATGACTGAGCCACCCAGGCGCCCCAACCCCTTGATTTATAAAAAACAAACAAACAGGGAGTTCTGCCCTGGGATACAACAGACTGTGTCTCAAGAAATACAAATAAAAACTTTGGTTATTTATCAGTTTCTGATATTCACGTTGATTGAATATATGATGAATTGTCTAACCCTATGTTTCCTAGAATTCACTCCTTAAAATTTTTTATGATCAAATGATGTATTTACAACCATTGAAGCAACAGGATTTTCCTATTAGGGGCAGTATGTGATATATGCATTATTTATGTCATCTTGTCCTTTTCCTAAGGCTCTGCTGAAAACGAAGAGAAGTCAGAAGTTCAAGCAATCATTGAATCCACTCCTGAGTTGGATATGGACAAAGATCTCAGTGGATATAAAGGCTCAAGGTACTGTCAATGTCAAATGAAGACATTTTATCCTTCCTTTCCCCTGTCCCAGAAGCATACTATTATTCTCTGGTCTCTTGCCAGGAAAAAGGTCATTCAAATGTTTTGCTGAAGAAATGTTAGTATTATATTCTAGTTTCCATTTTTGAAACTGGACATAGTATGTGGTTGAAATGTTTTGTGAAATGCTGCCTTTGCAGCCTCAGGGATTAGGAGCATATGGAAGACAGTGAAGGTGTAACCAATACTTTCTGCAATTTGAGGAAACATAGAAACAAGAGTAGGGGAAGTAACAATTTGAGCAAACTTTGTTCCTTTCCCCCAGATCAGGAAGAAACATATATACTCACTTCAAAACTGTAGTGATTTCAGGATGCCTGGCTGGCTCAGTCAGTAGACCAGATGACTCTTGATCTCAGGGTTGTAAGTTCTCCACCCCATGTTGGGTGTGGAGCCTACTCAAAAAAGCCCCCAAACTGTAATGATCCCATTATTGGAAGAAATTAGTCTCATTTTACATGGGGAGGCTGTTTAGTGGTGGGAAGAGAATTGTTATGTATCATCTTAATCAAGGTAATCCAAAGCATATGGATGTTCAGGAATTTCATAAAGGAGCTACTGCCTTTCTTTTAATTTCTTCCGTAACATTTATCCTTTAATAATAATGGCCATAAAAATATACTCCGTTTATTGATCACTACAGTCGTGGTTAAAAGCATGAACCTAGAGTAAAACTATGTGGGTTCAAATACTGCCTTGGATTTGAATCTGAAGTATATTTTCTCCATAAAAAGGAATTATGATAATACCTTAGATGATTATGAGTAAATGAATCAGTGTATATTAAATCATTGGCAAAGGGCCCAATTTAATAAATGTTAGGTAGTATTGTCATCATCATCATTTAATATAATTTTAGTTACAACTTTATGAAGTCAACATCTTCATCCCCATTTTACAGATAAGGAAGCTCAGAAATGTGTAGTAACTTGTCAAGGATGACCTAGTTAGCATGTGGAGCTGGCATTTACTCTAGGACTTTGATTTCAAAGGCCATGCCCTGTGAAAAATTTTTTTTTATTGTTTATTTAAAAATATAAACAATGCAGGGGCTCCTGGGTGGCACAGTCAGTTAAGTGTCTGACTTTTGATTTCATGATCTCAGAGTCCTGAGATCGAGCCCTGGGCTGGTCTCCATGCTGGGCGTGGAGCCTGCTTGGGATTCTCTCTCTCCCTCTCCCCCTGTCCCACCACTTGCACATGCATTCTCTCTTAAAAAAAAAAAAAAAAGGTAATGCAGAGTGTAAAAAGTGAAATTTGCTTTTTATTTGTCCTCTCCTAAGCCTAAGTAAGGAGATGCAGCTACTTATTAGCAGTTTCAGTTTGCCATTCTGAACCTCTTTAAAAATTAAAAAAAAAATTTTATTAGACTAATGCATGCGTAATATTAAGGTCAAAGGTAATAATACAAAATATGAAGGATAGTAGTAGTCCCTTGCCCTTACCCACCCCTCATTCCCACTCTCAAGAGGCAGTGTCTCTCACTTCTTCATTCTTTTTTTCTCAACAAAAGTGGCTCAACTTTATTGCAGGAAAGCTGGGGAGGGCCAGCAGGCTAAATAAGGGTCTCTGCAGGAACTCCCATCGCTGATCAGGACTGCCAGGCCCCAGGTCTGTCTGGAAGGCAGGAGAGGATCAGCGTATTGCCCCCTTTGGTCCATCTTGGGCCCAGGGGTCCAGGCCCTGACTCCTTGGGGCTGAGGTAGGAAACAGCCTTCGCTGTTTGCCCCAGGGTCTCCAGCAGAGTGTCCACGATGCACTCGGAGTTGATGCAAACCTTGCTGGGCAGGTCAGTGTCAAACTCGGCTCCTGCCTGCTTGTTGAGCGCCTGACTGACTGCGTTAGAGCGGCCTTCACGAGTCACATCCACAGAGACTCGTGCTGCGGCGTGACTGTGGATGTGGTGGTGGTGGCAGCCACCACATCTGAGTTCTCTTTTGCTACTTTTCTTCAGGTATCTAAAATCACATCCTTATGCTTCTTTTCCTTATTGGGGTTCTGCGAGAAAATTAAGTCCTAATGCCCCAAGGCATCCTTTGGGTATAATGAATTAGCTACACTCCTGTGCATCTAGAATTGAGAAAATAGTCACTCAAATCATTTTCTGTATTCTGTGGATCAAATGAGGAACCCTGGTTTTAGAAACGCTGTGATATAGCTGTTGACTTTATAGTGGAGGATGACAAGGATACAGCTCCTTAAACTACCATCCTTCCTTACGTCATCTCAGTATAATTCTCAGTTCTTGTTGCATTAACATTCATTGTTTAAATCTTATGACTATATAAATACTGATCACAGCTTAGCCACAGAGTATGCTGTGATTTTATTTCCTATCTTTTGCAACTTTGTTTTTCTGGAATTAGTAAAACCTGGTCGATTTTTGTTTTGTTTGCTTAGGTTTCTACATACCTATTGCTAGTTCATGGACAGATACCTTGCAAATCATAAATGTAAACACTCTCAAAATGGCCAAATATAAAGCAAGTTTCCTGGCACTCTCTCTCCTGGGGTCTTCTATTTGCATTCTCCAGCCTAGGTTGTTGTGGGCTCTGGTCCTGGCATTTGCCCTCACTGTCACACTGGGAATTCTCATCACTTCTGTCCTCTGTTGTATCTTCTGTTCCTGGATCCCTGGTCATCTTGCTGCTAGTGCTTCTTTTTTAAATATTTATTTATTTATTTTAGAGAGAGAGAGAGCACAAGTGGGAGGGACAGAGAGAGAGGGAGAGAGAATCTCAGACTCCGTGCTGAGCAAGAGCCCAGTGTGGGGCTTGATCTCATGACCGTGAGATCATGACCTGAGCCAAAACCAAGATCAGAAGCTTAACACTGCGCCACTCAGGCACCCTTTGCTTCTTGATTTATGCCTTTGTTTTGACAGAACACATTCTTTTTTTTTCTTTTGAGACTTATTTGAGAGAGAGAGCGTGCGAGCAAGTGCAAGCAAGTGGGGGGAGGGGCAGAGGGAGAGGGAGAGAGAGAATCTCAAGCAGACTCCATGCCCAGCATAGAGCCTGATAATGTGGCTTGATCTCACAACCCGGAGATCATGACCTGAGCCAAAATCAGGAGTTAGACACACAACCGACTGAGCCACCCAGGTGCCCCTTGACAGAACATATTCTCACTAGCTTTCTGGGCAAAGGCTGCATGGAAAGTAAATTTTTGGAGAACTTGAATATGACATATGTCATTTGAAGACAAGATTGATTGTTTGGCTAACAGAATTCTAGGTTGGAAAGTCATCAGAAGTGTTCCTTCAGAATTGTGAGGACATTACTTCATTATCATGTTGAGTTTGGAGAATTGTCATTTGGGTTCTTGCTTTTTTGTTTATTTTCTGTGGAAGATTTTAGGATCTTCTCTTTATCCCTCATGTGCCCCCTTCCCTTTAAAAATTCATTGATCGTATGCTTGATGTAGGGGTCTTCTTTTGTATCTTGTATGTGGTAAGTTCTTTCATCTGGAAATTTGTATCTCCCAGTTGTTTTTGTTTTTGTTTTGTTTTGTTTTTATTTATTTATTTATTTTTAAGTTTTTTTTTTTAAAGATTTTTTTATTTATTCATTTGAGAGAGAGAATGAGATAGAGAGCATGAGAGGGGAGAGGGTCAGAGGGAGAAGCAGACTCCCTGCTGAGCAGGGAGCCCGACGTGGGACTCGATCCCGGGACTCCAGGATCATGACCTGAGCCGAAGGCAGTCACTTAACCAACTGAGCCACCCAGGCGCCCTGTTTTGTTTTGTTTTTAAAGATTTTATTAATTTGACAGAGAGAGACACAGCGAGAGAGGGAACACAAGCATGGGGAGTGGGAGAGGGAGAAGTAGGCTTCCCGCGGAGCGGGGAGCCCGATGCGGGGCTTGATCCCAGGACCCTGGGATCATGACCCGAGCTGAAGACAGACGCTTAATGACTGAGCCACCCAGGCGCCCCTGTATCTCCCAGTTGTGAGAAAGTTTGTTATTTCTCTTTACTGTTGTCTCTTCCTCTCTTTCTGGAATATCTGTTAGGTGGATATTGAACATCCTGGACTAACCCTCATAATTCTACCTCCCCCCTTCTATTTTTTGTCCTAATTTTGGGATGATTTCTTCAACTTTATTTTTCAACCCTCATTGATTTTTTTTTTCCTCTAAAAGTTTTTAAGGTTACTTTTTATAACATTCTGCTATTCTTTTATGGATGCAATGTTTAGTCTGAAAAAAATTAGTTGTTTTATGTTTTTTTTTCTGTTGCTTGCGTTGTTTCCTTTTGCTCTGAGTGCCTCTGTCTTAGTCCATTTGTTTTTGGACTCTTTATTTTATAATAAAGGCCTTCTTTAAAGGTCTGGTGTTCCGTGGCTATTTTGCTTTTGCTGGTACTTAAGTAATTGATGCTGATTCTCTGGTTTCCTGCTTTTAACATGTAAACATGGCTTCCATTGTTTAGGGAGCAATGCTGTGGGGAGGGAGGTCTCTGTTCTGGAGGATTGGATCTCACCCATACTGCTTCTTGGGATGTCTTTCATCCCAGCCTTCTGGTTTTTGTTTGTTTGTTTGTTTTTAAAGATTTTATTTATTTTATTTGAGAGAGAGAATGAGAGAGAGCATATGAGGGGGGGAGGGTCAGAGGGAGAAGCAGACTCCCTGCCTAGCAAGGGGCCGGATGCGGGACTCGATCCTGGGACTCCAGGATCATGACCTGAGCCGAAGCCCTGTCGCTTAACCAACTGAGCCACCCAGGCGCCCCCAGCCTTCTGTTTTATGTTCTCCCTTGCATGCATTTTTCTGTAGATTGCTGGTTCCTTCAATGCCTGGGCCTTTCAGAGGTTCTGGTAGCATACTGATTTCTTCCCTAAAGCCTAGTGGCTTAGGTTTCAGCTTTTTCTGGTCTGTCAAATCAGTTTCAGCTGTTTGCCTGTTTTCTTCTGTCTTACAGAATTTTGTTCACATTTCATCTGCTGCAGTTTCTTTTTCTAGTCCCTGTGTCCTATTGAGTGGTAAATGACTATGTTTAGTCCACCAAGTTTAACTGGAAATTCTGTGCAGACTTTTTTTTTTTTTTAAGATTTATTTATTTATTTTAGAGCAGGGGGTGCAGGGACAGAGGGAGAGAGAATCCTAAGCAGACTCCACACTGAGCACAGAGCTCAGCATGGGGCTCCATCCTATGACCTTGAGATGACCTGAGCCAAAACCAAGAGGCAGACACTTAACTAACTGCGCCACCCAGGAACCCCAACTTTTTTCTATTAATATAACATTAAAAGCACAAACATACACATTTCCCCATTTCTTTGCATATCCCATGCTATAAAGGGCTTATATACACTGTTTTGTACTTTTTATTGTTTACTTATTTTTTTTTTTTTTAAGATTTTATTTGTGTGAGAGAGAGAGAGAGAGTGAATGCACAAGCAGGGGCTGAGGCAGGCAGAGGGAGAAGCAGGCTCCCTGCTGAGCAAGGAGCCCGACACGGGACTTGATCCCAGGACCCTGGGACCATGACCCGAGCTGAAGGCAGATGCTTAACGCACTGAACCACCCAGGCATCCCCTTGCTTTTTAAAAAATACCTTCATATAATGGATTTCTTTAGTTTTTAACTATGATGTTAACAATCTTTAACTTTTTTTTTTTTTTAAGATTTTATTCATTTATTTGACAGAGAGAGACACAGCGAGAGAGGGAACACAAGCAGGGGGAGCTGGAGAGGGAGAAGCAGGCTTCCCGTGGAGCAGGAAGCCTGATGCGGGGCCTGATCCCAGAACCCTGGGATCATGACCTGAGCCAAAGGCAGATGCTTAACGACTGAGCCACCCAGGCACACCAAAAATCTTTAACTTCTTAATGTATATCCATAACTTCTCTCCAACCTATTAATGATCAGTGAGGTCATTTCAACTTTTAGCTACTGTAAGAATGCTGCCCTGACCATCCTTTTACATTCGTAATTTCATTCTTATGACAGGATTTTTGTAGGATTTTTTTTTTTGCATTGAATTTTTGGATCAGAGGGTATTTGTATTCTGAATTTTAACAGATAGTATAATTGTCTTTAAAAGAAAAATAAAATGTCCATGCCAGTTTATATCCAGGCAACATAAAACACGGTAGTTAGCTAATAGCATGGATTCTGAAGCCTGACTGTCTGGGTTTGAATTCTGCCTCTTTCTCTCATTTGCTGGATGATCTTGGCAAATTCCTTAATCTCTTTAGTTTCCTATTCTGTGAAATTGGGGTAATAGCACCTCCTTTGTAGAGTAGGTGTGAAGATTCAGTAAGGTAATCTAGGTAAGGTGCTTATACAGTGCCTGATACAAGGCAGAGTAGTGCTCTGCTAGCTGTCATTTATTGTTTGTGTTTACTGGGATATGACCAAAAAATAAACATTCTGTATTTTCTTCAACAGTTCTTTCTGTGGAGTTTAATGGAAAATTCATAGGAAACCTTTTAGATACCTTTTAAAATTACACTTTGTGTTAAATGTAAATTACAGGTGGACAATTATTTGCCTATTGTATTCACTTTACACTGTTGAAAAAGTCTGTGATATTTGTTGATTTGGTTGTGTTGTTTCTGTTGCATAGCACTCCCACCAAAGGCATAGAGAACAAAGCTTTTGATCGTAATACAGAATCTCTCTTTGAAGAACTGTCTTCAGCTGGCTCAGGCCTAATTGGAGATGTGGATGAAGGAGCAGATTTACTAGGTATGATAGCTTATCTGAAGAAGTATCATACTGTTTTAAAAATGATTTAATTGAAAATTCCTTTAAAATGTCCCTAACTGATCAGTAGCACACAGTTACTACACTTTCAGGTAATTAATAGGAATGTATTCTTTGAGATCATGGAAGTTTTAAATCAAAGCATCTTTGTATATGGATATCCCTCAAATTGAATTGCACTTTAATTTGTATTTTGAAATTCATACAGCACATTTTATTGAACACGTGCCATATTCCAAGAACAGTATTACACATAAGGAGCACCGTGTGTGTGTGTGTGTGTGTGTGTGTGTGTGTGTGTGTGGATGTATAGATGTATAGATTGATAGGTAGTTAGTTCCTGGCTTAGATAGTTTTTTTAAAATTCTGTTGACCTTAATTAAATAAGAAAATATAATATTTTTTTTCTGAGATTTCACAGGATATTCTGTTTTAGCTCTATGAGAAATGTAACCATTTTAGAGTTTGTGTTGTTGAAGTCAACACGTGGTTTGAAAAGAATACTGCATTTGGCTTTTCCATTGTTTATCTGGTAACCTTTGCCAAATAGCTTAACCTCTCCTGGCCTTAGTTTCTTTGTGTATAAAATGAAGGAGCTGGATTCAAGTTCAGGGGTTGAGCAAACTGTGGCTTATGGGTCCAAATCCAGCTCATCTACGTGTATGAATGTGTATGAATAAAGCTTTATTGGAACACAGCTACTCTCATTTGTTTACTTACTGTCTGTAGTTGCTTTTGCACACAACAGCAGAGTTAAGTAGTCTATAACAGAGATCATATGGCTTACAAAGACTTAAAATTTACCGTCTGATCCTTTACAGAAAGAATGAAAGAATGTATCGACTCCTGCTCTAGGTGATCTCCGAAGTCTCTTTGAGCAATAATTACATGATTCTGACTTAACGTCAGCTGTGGTGTACCTTTCTTATAACTTAAGATCTTACAGAGATTGAAAGCCGTATTATTAAAAACCCATGCCTTTGGAATAGATGCTGGTCTTGAAGAAATTTATGTATCTATTATGTATCTTTTGGTGTAATTATAATACAGACTACAGTGTCCTCAAAAGGTCCTTTTTGTCAATTTTTGTGAACATGGAGTGGGATTCCTTGCATTAATTTGTGTTAAATTTATTGATTGCCATTATGTCCTCGAAAGTTTGAAGTATTTTTTGAAGGAAACATAAGTTCTTCCTATATGGAGGTCACAGTCTATCTAGTAAGAGAGATTGAAAGTTTGTTATAAATAAAAACTTTCTGAGTTAGACATAGACTCCCACCATTAAAGTGTAAGTTAAGTATTAGAAGCAGTTGAATGAGTTTGTATTTCTCAAGGAGGGCTAAAGATTAGTTCTTAAGGAACACCCCATTTTTAAATTTACACTTTAACTTTAGTTAACATTAAATTATGAATGAAAAGTTCCTTTTACGAAACTGAGTCCTTGGCAAAATTGAAGTGTAGAGATGCAAAAAATGTTAGAAGAATTTTTAAGTGTTTAAATTTATATCCAAATTTATATACAGTAAAAATCACTCTTTATGATGAATTTTTTGACCTTTGACAAAAGCATGGAGTTGTATAATCACTACCAGAATCAGTTTACACCTCCCAAAATTCCTTCATGCTGCTCCTTTGTGTTTAACTAGAATGAAGTACTTTTTAATGCAATTTGTATACTCTGCTACTTCATAATCCAGTATTGAATAATATCATTTTTGAAGTTGGTGGTCCCAAACTTTCCTTTTTTTGTAGAGTTAAGAAGCCACAGAGTACTTAGAATTAATTGTGGTCTTTTAAAATCTTGTGTTTTCTGAAAGCTTCCATTCTTTGAGTCAGAAGATTAAGCATAATGAATAGGTTAAAAGCAAAATCCTGATACTCTGGTTTTCTTTCTACTTTGAAAATAAGAAATAGACTGTAAACTGGTATCTTTTCCCTTTTGCAGAAATTGATATATTTATCTCTAAAATATTCCAGATTAGAAGTTTTTACTGTATTACCTTAAGTCTGTAGTGACTTAGGCCTGCATGAATCCCTTTTGGTTCAGAGATGGTAAATGAAATTTCCAAGGCACATATTTGTTCCCTGGCTTCTCTTCTATACAGTTTCGTGATAGCAATTGAGGTGTAATACTAAATGGAATGTAGTGAAACTAACAAAATTGTTTTCCAGAGTTCTTTAATTAATCTCGGGTTAATAAATAAGTACATAGTCCATTTCTGTAACTCCATTCATTTTCTCCATCACTATATTATTGTAAAACTCTTCTCTTGTTCGAGGATATAAATTTTTGCAATCATTATGCATATACTCCATATTTAGATTATTTTTTTCTGATTTTAATAATTTAAAAGAGGTAAACCCCTCCCCACCCCCCATTTGTCCTTGTCTCTTGACTTTCTTATCTTTGTCTGATCCTTTTTTTTTTTTTTTTTTAGATTTTATTTATTTGACAGAGAGACACACAGCGAGAGAGGGAACACAAGCAGGGGGAGTGGGAGAGGGAGAAGCAGGCTTCCCGCGGAGCAGGGAGCCCGATGCGGGACTCGATTCCAGGACCCTGGGATCATGACCTGAGCCGAAGGCAGACGCGTAACAACTGAGCCACCCAGGCGCCCTGTCTGATCCTTTTTCCATTCACTTCAGTCATGTACTCCCCACAGCCACACTCTAGAACTTGGAAATCATACATCCTACTCTTGGGATTTTCTTTCTCTTGATTATCCTTCTATATTTTCAACTTCACTATCTTTACTTCTTCTATTATCATTTAAACGTGTTCAAATCTCTTCCACTTAAAAACAAATGTGCGGCCCGGCCCTCCTCTGCCACTCTTATCTTCAGTACCTTTGTGCCCTGTCACTCCTTTTGCTTCCATATCTGGTCCTACTTTTGTGCAGCAGTATTGAAGAGGTATCTGTTATGTGTTTGACACTATTCTAGATGCTTGTGATACATGAGTGAACAAAGCAGACTTCTTGAAAGTGTAGCTGCTTTTAAGTGGCAGGATTTCCCCTTCCCCGCTTGCATCTCATCCCCCTGTAGTCTGTGTGGGCACTCTTCCCCACACTCACCTGGCGTCAAACAGCCTTCTTGTTTGCTATATCCAGCGGTTCCTTCTACGTTCTTTGACAGGACTTCTCAGATAACATTTGTCTTTAACACCATCTTTCCTGGATTTCTGTGATAACAGACTTTCCCGCCTCTGACTATATTCTTTTTCAGTCTTTGCAGGGTGCTCTTCCTCTGCCCATCTTTGAGGATATCAGTGTCCCAGGCCTGCTTCTTTGGGAAATCTTATTTGCTTTTGTTTCTTGGCTTTCATGGAAAATTGCTCCACAATTTCTATCTCCTTCCAACATCTTTTTCTAGAGCCCCAGACTGTTACTTCAGAACAGCCCACGAGACACCTCTAAGGTGATTTGTAGGGCTTTACACTTGAGGTGCCTAAAGCTCAGTTCATCATGTTCATTGTCCTGTTCAGGGCTGTTCTTAGTCCAGCACGTACGGTCTCAGTGAATGCCTCACCATCCACTGAGTTCTCCATTCAGAATCTCTCCCTCTTCTCTTGGAACCAATCACCAAGGTTTGTTTACCCCTTTTCTTTAAAAAAAAAAAAAAAAGCAAAAAACTGTATAACTCTTTTTTTTCCCCCATGCCTCTGCTTAAATGGCATATCCTCCTATTGGAATTCTGCTGTGATCCCCTAGTTAAAGCTTAATTGTCCCTGAAATATATTCTCATGGCACTCATGTTCTTTATTATGCCACTCTATATACTTCACTGTAATGTATGTACTCGTCTCTCTGGGTAGGCTCTAAGCTCAGTGTGGCCAAGACAACTTTGTCCGTTGCTCACTATTGAGTCTTTAGCACCATAGCACAGCGATTAAGTGAATATGGATTGCTAAGTAGTTCTAATGGCTTTATTTCACCTCTGATTCTGTGATTCTTCACCTTTTAGGATTAAAACTCCTTTATGGGAGAATTTGTAAGAAAGCAGTGTGCTTTTGGAAAAATGCATGTATAGGTAGACAAAATCGTGCATACTTTCTCAAGGGATTAACAGATACTTTGGAGGCCCAACTATGGACCTAGCTTGAGGGTTGATGCTAAACTGCCAGGCAGTTTTTTGTTGCTTTTGTTTTAATAGGTAAAGTTTCCAAATATGGTAGACCTAAGTTTATGTTTGGTTGAAACCTTGAATAGAAATGGGGCCACCTCCAAGTTATGTTAGTTATGAGCTAGTTTTTATCGATACATTGCAAAATGAAAATTTTGGACAATCCTATTGACCATATATTGAATTTATACACAAGATTTTGAGAGAACTCTTCACTGAGAACATAAACTTTAGAAACTACATTATCAGATATGATTCCCAAGGAGTACATATTTCAAAATTTTTTCTTATTTATAATATTTACACTTTATTGTGTTTGTTTCTCTACATCTTCTAAATTTTATTGTCTCCTCTCATTGAAACAAATGAGCATATTTCTTGCTTCTGAAAACAATCTAATTGTGATTCTCATTCATTTTTCTCTTGGGCTGCTTACCCAGGGGAATATTCTGGTGTGTATGCTTTTAAATACTTTAATATTACTGCTTTTTAAGCAAGGTGTTCCTGGCTGCTATTCTCATGTAATGCTTTCTCATCATTTTTTTCTGCTCAACTATTTTTTTTTTTGCCTTCCATATATTTTCAGCTTTTATGCTTATCTCCCTACATGCTTGAGAGTTTATAGCAAACATAGTCATTACATAAGCTTTTTCCAACCAGTCTAAACCTATTTCTTCTGATTATATAGCTTTATTGAAAGTTAACATTAGTCAAAAGCAAATATTTCAGTGTATCTTGCCAAAATTCATTTTGGAATTGGAACTTGGAAACCTTTTTAGTCTTTATTTTTACCTTTTGGAGAATACGTAGATGATTGAATGAGCTACTATGTGTGATATTTAATTCTTCATGGTAGTAGTACCCTGATCTTTGAGAATATTTGAGATAATTATAATACAGACAAAATATGAGTACATATGTGAGCATTGAATTTTTAGCATTCCTAGGTTGGTTTTGTTTTAAATTATCTTTAAGTCATTTGAAATAACTACCTTTTAAAAAAGGGACATGTTAACTCCTTTTCCTTATGTAGTTTTCTTAGGATTTCCTTCCTGTATAGCTGGGTTATATGAATATTACTTATTCCATTGTATGTAGTTTTCCGACATTAGCTTAGGATAAGTGAATGGTGGGTCTTTTGCTTTGCTTTGTTTTGCCTTTTTGCTTTTGTAACTTTTTGAGATACATTCCCTAGTGTGTGGTTTTATTTCTTCAGTTTCTTTTAAGTAGCAAATTAAAGAACTTTCTTCTCCCTAAAGATCATTGCATTGGATCTTGCATTGAATGCTCTGTTTGCCTTACAGTCCTCCTTAAATTATTAAACAGGATTCTGTAAAGTAATAACTGAACATTATCATTTCAGAGGTGGCACTTTGAAGGAAACTTTATATTACTGATGTGGGATTTTCAGTCTAATTATTCAGTTTCATTGTGCAAAAGGATTGGTAAAGCATTTTTTTTTTTTAGGTATTACGTATCAAAGAGCATCCTTATGAATGGAGGAAATCATCTTAATTTCTGTCTTTTGCACATCATTATGCATTAAATCATAACACTGATTCCAGGTGTATTTCATATCATGCATAAAACTTTACAGATTAATAATCTATTTTCGTGCTGTTTCTTACATAAAACATTTCTTGTTCTTTGTTTTTGCTTTACATGGAATGCATGGGCTTTAAGACCATAATTTCTTTGGTAAGGTTTCATCTGCATTGGGGTTCCGTCTTTCTTTGGCCTTGTTTCTGCCTGTTCTTTCTTAGTAAGACCTAATTTTTAGGCAAAAGCCTACAATACCAGCTGTGATTTGGAAATGATTTCTGATCTGTATTAATGCTTACTCTTTTTTCCTCTAAATATTTTACTGCTACTTTTTAGAATATTTGGCAGAAAAGTATTGATTGTATTGAAATAATTATCTATGAGAAACAAAATATAGACTAACAGTTACAAAGAATTGGCTAACAAAATCTTTAGCTTTGTTTTGTGATGGATAATTATTTATAATTTTATAACCTGTACAAGTAGATATATCAAATGAAATTATAGACTAAGGTTACTAAAGGACAGATAAAATCTATAAATTAAAATTTGAGTCTCTATTATAAGTTTATATAGTTTTTGATAAATTTTTTGAAAGGTTTTATTTATTTATTTTTTGGTAGGAATGGGTCGTGAAGTTGAGAATCTTATATTAGAAAATACACAACTGTTGGAAACCAAGTAAGTATATACAAAAAATTTTTTTAAAGATTTTATTTATTTTTTTGAGAGAGAGAGAGAGAGCACACAAGCAGGGGGGAGGGGCAGAGCAGAGAGAGAAGTAGGCTCCCTGCTGAGCAGGACCCTGGGATCATGACCTGAGCCAAAGACAGACACTTAATCCACTGAGTCACCCAGGCACCCCAGTATATACAAAATTTTAACAAGGAACACAAGATACTGAATTTTCTCATCTGAGTCAGTGACCCTTGTTCAGTTTAACACAGCATGTGATTACAGTCTAGCCACCCTGTTTTGTTCCTCTTTGTGTGTTCGTGTGCGTGTGGGCAATGGGACCTGATTTCCCTAATGGATAGGTTTTGTTGCTCTGTTTTTTGCAGAAATAGATTTTTATCTCCATTCCACCCTACAAGTATTCATGCCTTTTTCTTAACCTCCTTGGAGAGGTCATATGTTTTTTTTTTGCTCCCTCCCCTAGGATGCCTGTTTTATTATCTTTTCTTTGGGTTTTTTTTATTTCTACCTAAATGTTTTGATCTATACCCCAGCCCAGCTCTCCTCCATAGTTGTCGGTTTTCAGGTGTAATATGTGGAGCCTTAGACCCTCAAACATAATGGAGTCTTGTTTAGTGGGGCAGGTCCTGAGTCCTGTGGAAAAGCAGCCCAGGTCCCTTTGTTAATTTGCTGTGTCAAGAGAACTTTGGAACATCTGGGTAGATTCAAAATAGAACGCAGTTATGAGGTACTATGCCCACTTGTACCCAAAAGAACTAGATCTCAGATTTTTTTCCCCATGAACATTATATCAAAAACCAATGATGTACTATACCTTGGCTAATTGGATTTAAATTTAAAAAAAAAAAAAAAGAATTTTTTTCCCTAGATCCACCCCAAGTTTAGACTTTTATCTCATCAATTATTAAAGGTAAATTCAAAGATAAATTTACTTTATTGATTAGGTTTTTTTTTTTTTTTAGAGTTTAACAACAGTACCCTTATGGATGCTATTTTGTAAAAGTTTAATCTTCATTAATTGTGGTATTTTTATTAGTTGGTAGTGTGTTTTACTTTACCCATTTATTCTTTGGTTGGAAAAAGCAAAATCTTGGATGGTTGTGTGGTTTTTTGTCTTTACCTACAAACAACACCAGGTAGAGTATCTTAAAATACTCAGTTATTCAGCTTTGATTGTATAGTTATTTTCGTCTGTAAGAGAACAAGCTGAAAGACAGGAAGAGTACTCATTTGTAATGATATATGCAAAATATGTGTTTCTTAGACATGCTTTGAATGTAGTGAAGAATGACTTGATAGCCAAGGTGGATGAGCTGACCTGCGAGAAGGACGTACTGCAGGGGGAGCTGGAGGCTGTAAAACTAGCCAAGCTGAAGCTCGAGGAGAAGAACAAGGAGCTGGAGGAGGAACTTAGGAAGTAAGTTTCCTCGGTGGTGTTCTGAACCCAGCTCTCTTAGCCAGCGGGCCACAGAGCGTCATAGGTGTCCCCCCGAGGCTGGCCCTGCCACCACCGCCGGCAGCCCTCTCCAGCGGGCCAGGAGCACCAGCTGCCAGGAGGGTCAGGGCCGAGTGCCTGGTGGTAGCTCGGATATCAGCGCGCCCCTTGCTTGCCCAGCCTTATCATTGTCACTTTCTGTGGCTGTCACTGTGTGAGAAAAGTTAGTAGAACCATTCTAAAATTTGCTAATAAGGAAATTAGAAACATTATTTTCCTTCACCCAGCTTTCTTTAATACTTGTTTTTTTCTGAGAACAGTGCTGCACTAATGTTCCCCGAAGTGAAGGCAGCTAAATGCTCTGAAAAGAGAAGAATAATCATTTAGTGTTGATTAAAATTTTTGACCTACTCTTTGATTCCTTGAAAAGATGAATGCAACTCAAATAACATGTTCTTTTTTGCTCCCCCCCGCCCCCAGAGCTCGTGCAGAAGCCGAAGATGCCCGGCAAAAAGCAAAAGATGATGATGATGTAGGTTTATGATTTCAGACTTTTTTTCTTACTACATTTTGGTTTTTAAAGAAAATCTTGCTAATTAAGCTTTGGATATAGCATTATAAAAAGCAAGTCAGAAGATCTCTGTGTTAATGAGTAGGCTAACTCATGCTCCCACATGGTATCCAGAGGCTGAGTTTTCTGGCTACATGTGGTGTGCTCGTTTTTTTTCTGTGGCTCTGTGCTGTGACCTTGTTTGCAAGTTCAAGCTCAAGGACCAGCCAAAATACTTTGTTTCGTCTCATATTTTGACTTAGAAATATGAAAGCTTAATTAGTTTAAAAGTATTAAACATAAAAAAGATGAATTCTAGAACTTTAGTAGTAAGCAGTCAGCTTATAGTGTTTTCAACATATGCAAATACAGAAGACTAAGGATGAGGTTTTACCAATATAATTAGCATCGTAGTAACTGTTGGTAGCTAGATGATCATTCCTGTAATAGGTGTTTGCTGGTCAAGCATCAGACTTGAGATATGTGGGTACCCTGTACAAAATGATTATTTAATGCCCCTACAATCTTGCTCTTTTTTTAAAATATGTAATACTTGGTACATACCAAAAATATATGTAACATATGTAAATTATGAAACATAATAAATTAACATAATGAACCCACCACCTAACCTAAGAACTAGAACATTATCAAACATTGAAGCTACCCTATGCTCCTCCCCTCCAGAGGAGACCACTATCCTATATTTATCATTTTCTTACCTTTCTAAAAAATGATTTTATTGGGGCACCTGGCTGGCTCAGTTGGTAGAGCATGGGACTCTTATCTTGGATTCATGGTGGGTTCAAGCCCCACATTGGGTGTAGAGCTCACTTAAAAAAATTTTTTTTAAAGATTTTATTTATTTATTTGACTGAGAGACACAGCGAGAGAGGGAACACAATCAGGGGGAGCAGGAGAGGGAGAAGCAGGCTTCCCGCGGAGCAGGGAGCGCGATGCAGGGCTCGATCCCAGGATCCTGGGATCATGACCTGAGCCAAAGGCAGATTCTTAACGACTGAGCCACCCAGGTGCCCCTAAAATTTTTTAAAAAATAATTTTATCATATCACACATTTTTGTATCCCTACAAAATGTAGCTTAATTTTCATTGTTTTTTTATTTCATACTTGGAGATTGACCTCTTTTACTTGGCATTATGTTTCTGAGATTTACCTATGTTGTAGTGTAGTGCCAGAAGTTATTCATGTTTACTCCTTTATAATATCCCATTGTATGAATATATTACAATTTATGTATTTGTTTTCCTATTAATGGATATTTAGGATATTTTCAGCTTTTTACTACCACAAACAATGCTGTTGTTAGGAACATTATAGTGCAAGTCTCCTGGTTCTTCCATGGCGTATATACCTAGGAGTGTGATTGCTGTGCTGCAGACTCAGAGTCCTTGAATCCTCTGTTGTTTGACTTCATTTGAGAGGCAGAGTTCAGAGCAGGAGGACAAAGAAGGAGGTCCCCAAGGGCTAAACTTAGCCTCTTTCTTAACTGTCCCACCCTTCAGCAAAACAAGAGCCCTACAGTTAAACCAGTGTTCCTCCCCAGAAGAGCATTTAGAAATTACAGTAGAAGGAAGTTGACTTGAGCATGCTTCTTTGGGTCTTACCATACTCATCACATCCTTTAGTCTCCCTAAGAAGAATTCTAGTTAATACACTTGTCTCCGGCTTCTTGTATTTCTGTTGGTGTTTTAATGCCACTTAGAGTGGGGTGCCCTGGTACCTAGCCAATATATGTAGATAATGGGTAGTTTGAGATAAGTGTTTCCCTTTCGGAACTAACTTGTAACAAATTGCTGAATAATTAGCATTTGTTACAGAACATCAACTTAAAATAATGTTGTTAGAAGAACCATTTCCAGGCAAGCATGTTAAATCTATATAGATAGATTAACTTTGTTAATCTTTCTTGGTTTTAGTTCAGAATCTACACTGTTCTTTGTATTTGCTTTATAGTATGTTCAAATATCTGTATTTCTATTCAGAAATTAAATTGTTTACCTCTTTTCCGTCGTAAGTAATTGCTAAAATCTCTTTATTGATTTTATTTTTATATAAGGTTATTTTTCTTTAAATCATCCAATAGATTAGAAATTAAGAAATGTTTCAAAGCTTTAAGATTTTGCTTAAGTTTAGCATAACACCAAAAGCAGATATGGGCTGCCGGAGTGATCTGCTGTGTTCTTTTCGTTATAGAGTGATATTCCCACAGCCCAGAGGAAGCGGTTTACTAGAGTAGAAATGGCCCGTGTTCTAATGGAGAGAAACCAATATAAAGAGAGATTGATGGAGCTTCAGGAAGCTGTTCGATGGACAGAAATGATTCGGTTCGTATGAGAAGTACCTCTTGGTGCTTTTCTAGTATTGTTTCCTGGGTTTGAATATTCCTTCCCTCAGAACTAGAGTCCAGCCTTGGGGATCCAAACCTCTTACTCTGTTTACTAGGAGATAACTTTCTAAAGTAACACTAGAAATTAGGGACAGAATATGATCAAAATGAGTGCCTTTTGGGTAAAGGGCCCTTGGATAATGTTCCCATGACCTCTAAAAGGTAATTGTTGTTACTTAGGAATGATGGTCATTTTTCAAAAGAATATAGAAATTGGCCCTGCTTTTATAGTAATGTCAGGGAAAGATATAAATTTCACGTTCCACCCAGAAAACTAAGTCATTTTTACTCCGTGTCTTTCTGTAAAATACTCTTGTCCAATTTCCCCCTCCTTTCTGGCTATTCATGCAAAATGTACCTTCCATTGACATCTTTGTTGATCTGATCTTAGATCTCACCTAATGCTGCCATCTAACGGCCATATTCTCAGTAACAGTGTTCTTTACTTTAATTTAGGAAGAGCTCATGAACAGTTTGTGAACTAGTTGCCCCCTAATTTGCCCATATTTTTTAAAATTTAATTTAATTTTATTATGTTATGTTAGTCACCATACAGTACATCATTAGTTTTTGATGTAGTGTTCCATGATTCATTGTTTTCATATAACACCTGTGCTCCATGCAGTATGTGCCCTCCTTAATGCCCATCACCGGGCCCATCCCCCTACTCCCCTCCCCTCAAAAACCCTCAGTTTGTTTCTCGGAGTCCATAGTCTCTCGTGGTTCGTCTCCCCCTCCAATTTCCAACTCCTTCATTTTTCCCTTCCTTCTCCTAATGTCCTCCATGCTATTCCTTATGCTCCACAAATAAGTGAAACCATATGATAATTGACTTTCTCTGCTTGACTCTTTTCACTTAGCATAATCTCCTCCGGTCCTATCCATGTTGATGTAAAAGTTGGGTATTCATCCTTTCTGATGTAATTTGCCCATATTTTTGAGTTTGGAGTCCCATGTCAGATTTACCAGTAACAGTACATATATACTGACACATTGTTTTAAAGTTTATGAACATACTTTTTAACCTCCAACTTTTACTTCTTTGTGATTACATTATTTATTTAACAGTTTATATGTCCTTTACCAGTGTCATACTAGAACAAAAGTACTTCGTATAGCACATTTACAATTTGCTAAACTTGTAATTGCTGCTAAGAAGGAAGGAGATCAGTATTCTAATCTTCATTAATTGTTCAAAGAAAGTAATGTGCTAAGAAATTTGTTTTTAACTCAAACATTTAATGCATATTACATAAATAATAAATATTTTAAACTTTGAGGTAGAGGCGCCTGGGTGGCTCAGCCGGTTAAGCCTCCGACTCTTGACTTTGGCTCAGGCCATGAGAATATGGCTGTTAGATGGCATGGGGTCATGAGATCGGGCTGTGTCATCGGGCTCTGCACTCAGTGAGGAGTCTGCTGGAGATTTCCACCCCCCTCCTCAAATAAATAAATCTTTTTTAAAAATTGAGGTATATAGAGAGGCTCCATCTTTCTTTTTTAATGTTTATTTATTTATTTTAGAGAACATGAACGGGAAGGACAGAGGGAGGGGGAGAGAGAATCTCAAGCAGACTCCACATCTGGCATGGAGCCCAACATAGGGCTCGATCCCACAACACCGAGATCAAGACTTGAGCCGAAACCATGGGTCAGATGCTTAACCGACTATGTCACCCAGGCTCTCCGACAGGCTCCCCAACAGGCTCCTCTTTTCCTTGCTATTTTTAATTCTAGCAGCCACGTGATAGTCCACAAGTGAAGAAGTGGTGGCTCATTTTTTACTTTTCCATTGAATTAAACATGTTTTCAATTTAGTCCTTTAAAAAAAATGTGAAAAGTGAGCTCATAGTGAGCGCAGGATCCTTACCACCTTACTAAATTAGTTTAGAGTGCATTTTCTGAAATTTTCTTGAACTACCTGTCAGTCCAGTTTATCCCCTTCTCTGGTCATCTTTTCAGTAGTGGGAAAGTATTTGTCCTATGAAAAATGACCCATCAGAACAGTAAAGTTACAGGCTATCCTGTGAGAGCTAGAGCATGAGGACGATAGAGACCGTTATGTAAAGATAAGGATTCAAAAGACAGTATTTTGACAAAAGGGAGAATTGGAAGATAGCTCTTAAATAAAATTTTTTTTTAAATATTTACATTCAGGCCTGTTGGCTGTCCGTTCAGCACAGATAACAATCTTGTCTCTGTCAGTGGACTGAGCTCTTCTATGGAGGGATGGTGTTTTATTTATCTTAGTTGTATTAGCTTTTACAGGCTGACTGACACATGATAGGTCAAAGCAACTATTTACTGAATTTAATTGTTGATTCTCTTTTGTGTATCCCATGAACTTCTTGGGTCACCTATTCTTCAGATAGAAAGCTAAAACACCTCACTGATGACACATTTTTTTTCTTTGTTTTTCTTTTAAAATATAGTGCATCAAGAGAAAATCCAGCCATGCAGGAAAAAAAAAGGTCAAGCATTTGGCAGTTGTAAGTATCTAAAAACACATAAAGACTTCAGAGAGCCCTTTGAGACAAGATTGCAGTCAAAATTTTATTTCTGAGAATGATTTCGTGTCTCCTTTCTTTTTAAAATTTGGAGTATATGGCTAAATTGAACTTTTTTCTATTTGATACGTAGCGTGCCAGCTCGGTAAGGCTATTCTTGAGGACAAACATATGCTGTCGTAAGCTGCATCCTGTTGGTTATGCACTCGATGGAATCTTCTGCTAAATTAAATAAAAATGATGGGGAATTATTCATAGAGTTGATAATTACCTGGATCCTCAGTAAATAAGTTATATGGATGCACTGGTTGTGTGATTGTAAGGAACTTTATAAAAGCTTAGAAATTTAGTGTCTGTAGGTTTGAGTAGTGTGTGTATTTGTGTGTTTCAGATTTGATTTATGTTCATGCCAGAAGAATGTGCATTTACTATACTTAAAATTTACCCTTTTTGGTGAATTCTGCTATTTAATAGAAGTGTTAATTCTTTTAAGTGGATGTGAAGGTAGATCTATAATTTGGGCTTAATAAGAAAAGTTATAAGATGTATGTTACAATGGTAGTATGTGTTCCAGTACTTTATTACCACTTTTAGAACTGGCAAAACTAAGCTTCTGTTCAAACCATGCAGCTATAACATTGCTGTTTAACAACTACTTACCAAGTAAGAGCTAGGACCGGTCTTATTTCTTCATTACAAGAAGTTCCCCGTACTTAAGAGTTTGTTTCTTTCATTATGGGAATTGCTAATTAAAGTGCGAGGATCTGCCATTCTAAGCAATAGTTTCTCTTTCCTGAATGTCTGAGTTTGGCTGTGAGTTATTGCTAAGGCTGCAGTGTATGACTACAAAATATCTTTCTGCCAGTTTCTAACTCATTGCCTTGTAAAAGCACTCTGAAATTTATGGAAAGTAGTGGATTGTTTTTCATAGTGCACGTAATAACGCTCTTTCTCTCTTGCGCGCGCTCTCTCTCTTGCTCTCTCTCGCTCTCGCTCTCGGTCTCGCTCTCACTTTTTTTCTTTTTAGTTTCAGCCGACTTTTCAGCTCTTCAAGTAATACTACTAAGAAGCCTGAACCACCTGTTAATTTGAAATACAATGCACCCACTTCTCATGTTACTCCTTCCGTCAAGAAAAGAAGCAGCACCTTATCTCAGCTCCCTGGGGATAAGTCCAAAGCCTTTGATTTCCTTAGTGAAGAGTAAGTATTTTGCAGACTAGTGGTTATGCGCTAAATAACTTAATAGTTCAGAATATTCTTGCCCCTTATCCGATCAGCTGTAAGGTTCACATAAGTCCATAAAGAAGCCATTTCTATAACGTGGCTGCCTACCTTTAAGTAGATTACTTGTAGTCAATACCTTTTATGAAAATTGTATTTCACAGGTTTCATAAACAGAAGTTGTTTTTAAAATGTCTCTTTGTTGATGGTCAACAACACTGGTAAATATTAGTAAAATATTAAAGGCCTATATAAGCCTTTATCCTAAATGTTTGAACATTTCCTTTGGTGTCAGAAGTTTATTTTCCCTCCTGACTCTGCTGCTCATTAGGTACATGAACTTGGACAAGCTAACCTCTCAGCCCCAGTTTCTCTGCCTGTAAATGGAGTATGATAACCTGTCTCAGAGGCACTAGGGTTAAATTACCAAGGGTTTGTCTGACACACAGATTTGTTAACTCTGGCATACATAGCAAGTCAGTTTGCATTTTTGTCTTCTGAAACAAAGCAGTGGGACCCAGAAATTAATCTTTGTTATCTTCCTAAGAAGATACTGATTTATTGATCTTGAATCACTTCTAGCACATTCCCTGGCATGAGAAAATTCTCAGTAAATATTTGTTGAATGAACAAAAAAGGGAGGAACTAAAAAATATTTAAGAATTTTTCCCTTTCATATGGCCAAATCTGAAATCTGATAGAAATTTGATGGCAGATGATTCAGCATAATAAAATAAGCTGCTTGCTAATCTGTTAAAGTTTGAGCACTGTACTCACTGCACTACTTTAAAAGGCAAGCTTTAGGCTAACACTGCTTAGAAATGCAGAACTCTGAAGTAAACTGAAATTGGGTGATTTTTTTTTCTTTTTTTTTTTGTCATTTTTGCTGTCTTCGCGGGAAAGGGGAGATACACTGTTGTTATATATTCCCTTAATTAAAAAGGGAAATTTCTTTGCCTTTTAGAACTGAAGCTAGTTTAGCCTCACGCAGAGAACAAAAGAGAGAACAGTATCGGCAGGTAAAGGCACACGTTCAGAAGGAAGATGGTAGAGTGCAGGCTTTTGGCTGGAGTCTGCCTCAGAAGTACAAACAGGTAAGAGCATCTGGTGGTTAGTGCTAGGGGAGAGGGGTATGCCTGGGCATGAAGGCATTGCAATAGCTGTCTCAAACCTGCTCGTTTCTTTCTTTTTTTTTTTTTTTTTTTTTTTTTATTTATTTGAGAGAGAGAGAATGAGAGATCGAGAGCACGAGAGGGAAGAGGGTCAGAGGGAGCAGCAGACTCCCTGCCGAGCAGGGAGCCCGATGTGGGACTCGATCCCGGGACTCCAGGATCATGACCTGAGCCGAAGGCAGTCACTTAACTGACTGAGCCACCCAGGCGCCCCTCAAACCTGCTCGTTTCAAGTTCATGGACTTGGCACACACTTAGACAAGGGTTGAAGGTAGTGGTTCTCAGGCTGTTTTCTAGAGCCCCAGAGCTCAAAAGAGACACCTGAGTCTGTGAGGAGGCAGAGGGGTCAACAGGAGGTTTACCAGGTGCACAGACTTGAGGTAATCTATTGGTTTGTTTTTTTGTTCTTTTTTTGTTTTGTTTTGAGGGATAATTGACATACAGCATTATAATAGTTTCAGGTACACAACATAATGATTTGATATTTTTACATATTGTGAAATGATCACCGCAGTAAGTATAGTTACAAATCATCACCAAACGTGGTTACAGATTTTTTTTTGTAGTGAGAACTTTACGGATTTACTCTCTTAGTAACTTTAAATGTGCAATACAGTATTATTAATTATAGTTGCCATGCTGTACCGTACATCCCCATGACTTAATTTATAACTGGAAGTTTGTATCTTTTGACCTCCTTTACGAACCACGTCACCGATCTCTCACCCCTGCCTCTAGCAGCCCCCAGTTTATTCTCTGTGTTTATGAGCTTTGTATGTTTAAGATTCCACATATAAGTGAGATCATACGGTATTTGTTTTTCTCTGTCTGAATTTACTTCACTTAGCATAATGCCCTCAAGTTCCATCCATGTTGTCACAGATGGAAAACTACAGTTCTTTTTTATGGCTGAATAATAATCCATTTTATTTATATACCACATTTCCCTTACACATTCCTTTATCGATGGACACTTAGGTTGTATGCATGTCTTGGCTACTGTAAGTAATGCTACAGTGAACATAGAGGTGCATATATCTTTTCAAGTTAATGTGTTTTTTTCTCCAGATAAATACCCAGAAGTGGAATTGCTGGATTGTATGGCAGTTCTATTTTTAATTTTTTTAAAAAAGTCATCTCTATGCCCAAAGTAGGGCTTGAACTCATGACCCCAAGATCAAGAGTCACATGCTCTACCAACTAAATGAGCCAGGTGCCCCTATTTTTTATTTTTTAGGAGCCTCCATACTGTTTTCCATAATGGCTGCACCAGTTTACATTCCCACTATCAGTACATTAGGGTTTCCTTTTCTCCATATCCTCGCCTCTTGTCTTTCTGGTAATAGCAATTCTGACAGGTGTGAGATGGTATTTCATTGTGGTTTTGATTTGCATTTCCCTGATGATTAGTGATGTTGAGCATCTTGTCATGTACCCTTTGGCTGTCTGTATCTTCTTTGGAAAAATGTTCGTTCAGATCCTCTGCCCATTTTTTATTTTTTTTTTTTAAAGATTTTATTTATTTATTTGAGAGAGAGAATGAGAGAGATAGAGAGCACGAGAGGGAAGAGGGTCAGAGGGAGAAGCAGACTCCCTGCTGAGCAGGGAGCCCGATGTGGGACTCGATCCTGGGACTCCAGGATCATGACCTGAGCCGAAGGCAGTTGCTTAACCAACTGAGCCACCCAGGCGCCCCCTCTGCCCATTTTTTAATCCATTTGTTTGTTTTTGCTATTGAGTTGGATGTGTATCCTGCTGTATTTTAATATTCGAAGATTTCATTTTTTAAAAAACATCTTTTTTAGATTTATTTATTTCAGAGGGAGAGAGGGTGAGAGGGAGAACACATGTGGGGCAAGCAGGGGAGAGGGGCAGAGGGAGAGGGAGATTGATGCGGGGCTCGATCCCAGGATCCTGAGATCATGACCTGAGTCAAAACTCAGTGTCAGCCTCTTAACTGACTGAGCCACCCAGGTACACAAAAAACCAACCTCTGTTTTTAGAAGTTTTAAGAAACCATGCATTGTCATGTAACCTTTCAAACTGTTGACTTAAACCTAAGTTCAGGTTTACAGGAACTTTGTCTACTTCCATATTCCCTATCCCTAAAAGACTCACACATGAGTACGCACATGCATGCACGCACGCACACGCACACACACGCACACACGCACTAACATGTACATGAAGTAGTGTATCTCTTCTGAGCTCCCATAGTATCTTGTTTATTTTTTCTAACTGCCACTTGACTTTCTGCTTATTTTTCAAATAAGAATAACAGAATTAACTTGGACATGATTTCAAAGAGGAAATAATATACCAGCAGTGCTTGCCCATGGCTCAGTGGTTCTTTGAGTTCACTTTTGATGAGGCTTACCAATGTGTCTTTTACTCTCCTCTCCCTAATTATCAGGTAACCAATGGCCAAGGGGAAAATAAGATGAAAAATCTACCTGTGCCCGTCTATCTCAGACCTCTAGATGAAAAAGATACATCAATGAAGGTAAATTAATTTTGAAGTTAAAGGAAATATTTCTTCAACTCTGGATGGATTCTCTTTCTAAAACCAGAAAAGTTTAAATTCTGGTTTTGTAGGTGAGGTTATTGTTTATTTTGTAATTTTAGACTGGAATACTTTGAATATTAAAGAGCTGTATTCATGGGGCGCCTTTCTGACTCAGTCAGTAGAATGTGCGACTCTTAATCTCAGGGTCTTGAGTTCGAGCTCCGAATTGGGGAGAGTTTACTTGAATGAAAGGAACAACAACCAAAAAAAGACCTATATTCATGATCATTAGATTTTTAAAGAATGTGAAAAGTTCTAAACATTTTTAGAGAGAAAATGACTTAATACCACCCCCCCCCTTTTCAAATCCAAAAAGCTGTGGTGTGCTGTTGGAGTCAATTTATCAGGTGGAAAGACCAGAGATGGTGGTTCTGTTGTTGGAGCAAGTGTATTTTACAAGGATGTTGCTGGTTTGGATACAGAAGGCAGTAAACAGCGAAGTGCGTCGCAGAGTAGCTTAGACAAGTTAGACCAGGAACTTAAGGTAAGTGTGTGCATTAACATTTGACCTCCTGGTTGTAACTTTTTGGTCCAGAACTTACTTCTGGTCCAGCTTCTAATTGGGATTATTATGCCCTTGCTTACTCCTCATGCTCTCTCTTTTTTAGATCCATTTTATGAGGTGTATTTTACATATGCTAAGGTATATACACTTGAAATGGGTACAGTTCAAAGAGTTTTGACAAATGTATGTACCTGTTTAAGAACCATCAAAATCAAGATATAGAACATTTTTATCATTGATTTGCTTTAACTGCTATTTTTTAGTCTACTAACTAATATTGAAAGGTGGTTGTATTTTTAGCCTTTTCAAATAATCTGAAAATAAATGCAAAACAGCATTGCCCTTTACTGTTACAACACAGCCTTATGAATTTGTACACATGCATATCATTTTAAACATTCATATTCTTACTTTGTATACATAGGAACAGCAGAAGGAGTTAAAAAATCAAGAAGAATTATCCAGTCTAGTCTGGATCTGTACCAGCACTCATTCAGCTACAAAAGTTATCATTATTGATGCTATTCAACCAGGCAACATCCTAGACAGTTTCACTGTTTGCAACTCTCATGTTCTGTGTATAGCGAGTGTACCAGGTAAGAGGAAGCCACGTCCCTCTCTTCCTACCATCTACACCTTTTTACTGGCAGGAACTGACTTGTTTGCTGGAGGTAGTTATGCACCACTCTCATGGAGTTTATGCTCTAGTTGGGGAAGACCAAAAATAAACTGGAAACAAATGACTAAGATTAGCTGTTAGGAAAAGTTTTATCTTGTTTTTTAGGAGCAAGAGAAACAGACTACCCTGCAGGAGAAGAGTCTTCCGAATCTGGACAGGTAGACAAAGCATCCTTATGTGGCAGCATGACCAGCAATAGCTCAGCAGAGACAGACAGCCTGTTGGGGGGCATCACAGTGGTTGGTTGTTCTACAGAAAGTGTGACAGCAGCTGCCACTTCCCCAAGTACCAACGGTGCTTCTCCAGTGATGGAAAAACCACCAGGTACCACTCTCCTCCTTCCATGCCATCAGTATAGAGTCACAGCCTATCCCAGAGGCCTCATTAGGACTCCTCCTCAATTTAGATCTTGAAGTAACGAGGATGAAAGAGCTCAAAAGAAGACACTGTAATACTGTAATGCTTATGAAGACAAGAATTCTGTATTTCATGGTATAGTGTGGAGGAGGATGCAGTAGGGGGAGTGGAACTCTGCAGCAGTGGTTTGTGTGGGGAAATGATTGGGAGAAAAGCTCAAACTCAAAATAGTTAGCATGTTTTATTTATTTTGTAGAAAAGGAAGCAGAAAATAGTGAGGTTGATGAAAACATTCCAACAGCAGAAGAAGCAACTGAAGCCACAGAAGGCAATGCAGGGTCAGCTGAAGACACTGTGGACATCTCCCAGCCCGGCGTGTACACAGAGCACGTCTTTACAGATCCTCTGGGAGTTCAAATCCCGGAAGACCTCTCACCAGTGTATCAGTCAAGGTATGCAGATGGGTCAGTAACTTAGGAAACCAGAGAAGTGCTCATGTAAAAGGAACCAGGATCATCTCAAGCAGCCACAGTATTCCCACTATGTCTCCATCTCTCCTTCCACTGCTTCTGCTCTGGATTCCCCCACCCCCCATGTGTTCTCTGTTCCTTCTAACTTAAAAAACAAAAAGAAAAAACACACACAAAAAAACTTTGCCTATAAGTACAGTAGTCAAAATCTTCCTGGTCATTTTCTCCTCTGATAGGATTTTTCATTCAAACTGTAACTGTGCCACTTTCCTCCCCAGCCCTCCTCCCCAACCCTAGTTAGCTGCGAAATTCGCAGTTTAGATTTCTCATGTGGGCTCGGATGACTTTTTTGAATTTTGTTTTCTAGCAAATAGCTCTTCCTTTAAAGCAATGGGTAATCTAGGCCCATTTAATGAATTCTTTATTTTCTAGGCCTTTATAGAAAGCTGATGGGGATCTATCTAAACGTGATTCTTTTTATAATTTAATACTCCTCCTCTTATAGAGTGATAACTGTCTATTAACATTTGTTAATTTAAGTTATCTGGGGCACGGGTGGCTCAGTTGGTTAAGCGTCTGCCTTCGGCTCAGGTCATGATCCCAGGGTCCTGAGATTGAGTCCCAAGTCGGGTTCCCTGCTCAGCGGGGAGTCTGCTTCTCTTTCTCCCTCTGCCTGCAGCTCCCCCTGCTTATGTTCTGTGTGTGTGTGTGTGTGTGTGTGTGTGAAATAAATAGAATCTTAAAAAAACAAGAATAAAGGCATCTTTTTAGAAATAGTAGGTTTGTCTGTTTTGAATTTGACAGCCCACTTACCTTTTCTAAAACTGTTCTGACAATCCAAAAGAAAGAAGGTCGTAGGAGAGAATATGAGTGTTTTAGCTTAATAATTTATTTTAGAAAAAAAAATTTTTTTTTTTTAAGATTTTATTTGAGAGAGCATGAGCTGAGGGAGAGGCAGACTCCCCACTGAGCAGGGAGCCTGATGCGGGGCTTGATCCCAGGACCCTGGGATCATGACCTGAGCCGAGGGCAGACTCTTAACCTATTGAACCAGGCACCCCTTGAAAATTCTTTATACTCATTCTCGTGTGTGTGTGCTTTTCCTCTTAAAACAAACCATCCCTTCCTCTTCTTTCCCCTAAGAAAAAACTTATAAAATTCAAAATAACCCTAAGGGAGAACTGTAATTATAGTCTGGATATTAACTGCTATATTACTATGTCTTAACTCCCTTATCTGCACCTTGGTTCTCTCTAGTATGTTAATGTTACTTCTGGTACAACTGTTGAAATATTTATTATAAGCATTTAAATTTGGCTTTTCTGGAATGTTAGTGTTTGATTTTTTTTTCAAACTGTTAAACTGAAATGTGGAAATGTTAAGTCCCTGAAAACTGTAGCTAAGCATACTCAGATGCTTTCCTTTTCCCCACCTTTCCCAGTAATGACTCAGATGCATATAAAGATCAGTTATCAGTATTGCCAAATGAACAAGACCTGGTGAGAGAAGAAGCCCAGAAAATGAGTAGCCTTTTACCAACTATGTGGCTTGGAGCTCAGAATGGCTGGTAGGTGCCAACTCTTAATATTGGAGTATCTTTAGTTTTTTACTTTTTGGAATCAGAAATAAGTAAAATGTGGTGCATAGGCATACAACAAAAAGTACATATTAAAGCAGAGAACTTTATGTACATACAGATTTTGAGATGATCTCATTACCTCATAAACTGGACTTGTATTGTTTATGAATGGTAAATCATATAGTTCTTTGTCACAGAATGTTCCCTTTATGTAATATTCTTGGAAGAAGAGGTAAATAAAACTTGGAAATCTGGGTGATCCAGAAAAAGAAGATCCTGAACAGCACAGAGACAGAATTATGGATGCACAGAAGGTTTATATAGGCTAGAGTGTATTCAGGAAATACCAGCGATTAAACTAATCTATTGGCTGTGAGAAGGCCCAGTTCCATTCCGAACACGAAATGTACTAGGGAAACCTGGACAGATCCCAGTCTGAAAGCTTAGGAGATGATAACTAACATTACATAGTTTGTTTATATTCTAGTAGTATGAGGAGTCTCTGAAAATTATGCTTCTCCACAGGTTAAGCAAGGTCACTAGTGCTTTTTTTCCATAGGAGTCTTAATACTACAGAATGGAGGGTCAGCCCACTTTTTCTCTGAAGGATCAGATAAGAAGTATGTTAGGCTTTGTGGCCATATAATCTCTAGCAACTTCTCAGCTCTGGCGTGGTGGTGCAAAGGCGGCTGTTGTGCTGGCAGCAGGTCCGTAGCAGAGTGCAGCTGTGCTCTTGGAACGCTGGGTGGGCGCTGAGGGCTGGATTTCATGCAGGTCTCAGATGTCATAAAATACTCTTGATTTTTTCCCATTTACACACATAAAGACCATTTTTATCTCGCATGCTATACGAAGACAGGTGGAGGGCTAGATGTGGCCTGCAGGCCGTAGCTTGCCACTCTCTTGATGTAAACCAGCCTGTTGTCAGAAAGTTACGGTTTGGTGTAGCAGAAGAGTAAGGTCATTTTTTAAAAACGGATTTTAGCCAAGGATTCTGAAGTATGTGGTAACCTGAAACTAACTGACCATGCATTATTCTAGTTCTGACTTTTCACTCTTCTGTGTTTCTGTTTGCTTAAGCAGCTTATTTCTTTATGTTAGACTCTCGTTGTTGTTATTTCCTACGATTTTTGTGTTACTCTTCTTTCCTCCTAAGGGAACTTTGTGGTCATTATTAGATGAAAGCAACAACTTGATTTTCTCTATGCCTTACCAGTCTTGATTTTGTTCTTGCAGTTTGTATGTGCATTCATCTGTAGCCCAGTGGAGGAAATGTCTCCATTCTATTAAACTTAAAGATTCGATTCTCAGTATTGTGTAAGTTTTATTTTAGAAATTCTTCCTTTAAAAAATATGTATTTTGGTATAAACTATCTTTTAAGACTATTAAAGCTAACATGTGCTTCATAATTAAATCAGTATCCAGATATTTTCCCCCTTTATGGAATCAGAGGAGCTGAGTGAGATTGAAATTCTTACTATAAAATAAAATAGTTCCTAAGTAGAGCTTTAAGTCAAACTAGTCAGGTTGATTCCTCACCATACTGTGAGTTCTGTAGTACTCTGGGGAGAGAACCAATTAATACCTATTAATTTATGTTTATTTCAGGGTACTCTTGAGACTTGGTGAGTGTGTTGACTGGGGGCATTAATTCACTAGTCCTTTTCTGTATGTCGCTATCAAAAACGCCGAAGTTCACAGAGCTGATTGTTAGTTCCACTCAAGGCATCTGTCTCTGGTCTGTGGCCCTTCTGCGATGAGAGAAGCTTGGGGCCAGAAAGTGAAATAAGAGAGTCACCACACAGGCTGTTTATTTAGCTCAGCTGACATGAAAGACTTTCTCAATGAAGAGTATATTCTGAGGTGCCCGGCTAGCTCAGTATAGAGTATGTTACTCCTGATCTTGGGGTCGTGAGTTTGAGCCCCACATTGGGCCTACGTAGAGATGACTTAAAAAAAAAAAAAAAAAAGTATTCTTTAGCTTCTGGTGTAAGCTTCTTGTCTGTCACAGATTGGCCCCCTGGGAGCCTCTGAACTAGTTCAGTAGCATGTGGTCCCCCCCCACCCCCCCCACCCCCCGCGTTCCCAGATGGAGAGTTCTGAAATTCTTTTTCCTGTTTGCAGACACGTGAAAGGAATTGTTTTAGTGGCTCTGGCTGATGGCACCCTTGCAATCTTTCACAGAGGAGTTGGTGAGTTGTTATGAATATAGAATGTGCCCAGTTTGTTGCTTTGCAAAAGCATTTTCTAGCAGATTGGACTGTGTTTTAAAGAAATGATACTTAATAAGAGAAAGAATAAAGGTTTATACTGAACACTAACAGTGTATGACTTCAGTAGTTATGTGAGTGCACGTAGTTTATCATTTCAAGGTACTCTGACATAACGTGATAATGGAGGCACTTGTTTCTCATTCATACACTTCTTCAGTTAGGAGAAATTTAGTGAGAGGGAAGGTTTTCTTTGTTGTTGTTCAGTATTTTTAAAATAATTTGCATCCACTTATATTTGGAAAGTTTTAAAAGTTTTTAATTGGATATGGTTTAATCATTTTCGTGTCCTGTGATTTCTGTTCTTCCTCTCTAAAACCAGTGTATCTATCATCTGCAGATGGGAGGGGTGGTGGAGGTCCAAAAACCTGCCTTGAGTTATAAGAGAACTAGGGAAGCGAGCGTGTGACACTTCCTAACTCCTTGGTATATGTATCAGCCAGAAATGATCATTCATTTCCTACCTGCTAAATTGCTAGAGCAGGAAAATATTCCATAAGCATAGATACACTAAAATCGGATTTTAGCAAGACTTTTCCCCAAGTCTGTTATCTTTTTGGGCTTGGAAAAATAAAGGGTAGATGATGATTAGGTGTCTTTGTAACTGACTGGTACCTAGAGATTGCTGGCTAATGACTCCTTATCATCCAGAAGTGAGGGGGCTCTGTTTTACCTTGTTCAGACCCTTTGTAGACTTTATCTGAGCTTAATCCTCACTGCAACTTATGAAGAAGGTTCTGGTGTTATCTTCATTAAATAGATGAGGAAACTGGAGGCCCAGAGGCTTGTATTTTTTTTATTTTCAAGATTTTATTTATTTATTTGACAGAGAGAGGGGGAACACAAGCAGGGGGAGTGGGAGAGGGAGAAGCAGGCTTCCTGCTGAGCAGGGAGCTGATGCAGGGCTCGATCCCAGGACCCTGGGATCATGACCTGAGCTGAAGGCAGGCACTCAACCAACTGAGCCACCCCGTCACCCCTGGAGGCACAGAGGCTTTTAGTCATTTTGTGGTTAGTCAGCTAAGAAGTGCAAAAGCTTAGAAAAAATGTGGTAATAAATGTTTTGGCAAGCTGAATTATATTTCAGAACAGACAAAAGACATATAATAAGATAAATGTCAAGTTCTGTGTTGGGGTTCAGAAGAGTGAAAAGGGGGCAACATGTCTGAAGAATGAGAAGTACCCAAAGGTTGGCCCCAAACTTAATACAAGTTACTGAACATCTTCAGCCTCCTAGAAATCTCTGTCCAGACCAGGGCTGGTGATAATCCTGCTCTTCTCTGGTAGATAGATAGCATATTAAACAAACACAGACAAAGTGGAGTTAGGATAAAGGGTCTGTAAACTGGGATATGTACAGAACACACCCCAAGAGTGCTTCATTTTGAGAGGAGAAAACATAGGGCAGTAACAAAAGAAGTGGGACTAAGTTCTTCTGTGTCTATTGCACAAAAGGTGATGACACTCAAGGATGAACTACTTAGGCGTGGGGAGTATTTTTCAGACAGTTACAGCTTTTGGAAAATGGAACAGCTGCTTTGTGAGGCAGTACGTTTTCTTTCACTGAAATTGTTCAAGCAGAGTCTACAGAGCAAGCTTTCAATGGCTCATTCTCATTTGTATTTCTGCCATCAGAAGTTATTGTGTAATTCCTAAAGTGTTAGCAATGTGTTGTCCTTAACATTTACAAGATACATCAAAATGCAAGTGAGAGAGAGATATTGTCCAGAAAATAATATTAAATCCATTCTAATTCTTAAACTGTTATAATAAACAGATAACTTATGGCTGATTGATCACGTCACTGCAAGGGAGTATGGAGATCCAGGCACTGGGTGGCTCATTGGACCAGATGCCCTCTGAGATCTCTTCCCCAACTGTGCAGTAGACAGAAGGAGAGAATTCAGTCTCTGCAAAGAAAAGATAAACTGACTATGTGGTATTTTGCAGTGTGTCACCAATAAATTTATTAATGCACCCAAATAGAATGTTTCTTGTGTTAAAATTGAGTAAAAGGTGGTATGCATTAACTAATAATTTGTTTCTTATTTTAAAGATGGGCAGTGGGATTTGTCAAACTATCACCTGTTAGACCTTGGACGGCCTCACCATTCCATCCGCTGCATGACTGTGGTACATGACAAAGTCTGGTGTGGCTATAGGAACAAAATCTATGTGGTTCAGCCAAAGGCTATGAAAATAGAGGTAAGTTAACCTATGCTTTCTGTATTTACTGAATTTGTATTTTCTGAAGACTATAATTATATTTAGCTTCTCTAGAAACTGTTTTCTGAATCTGTGTTTTAGGGCACATCAGTGATGGATTGGATGACAGCTTTTTTTTTTTTTTTAAGATTTTTTTATTTATTTGAGAGAGAGAGAGAGAGAGAGATAGCAGGAGCTGGAGGGAGGAGCAGAGGGAGAGAAAGAAGCAGATTCCCCGCTGAGCAGGGAGCCCGATGCGGGCTCTATTCCCAGGATCCTGGGATCATGACTTGACCTCAAGGCAGACGCTTAACCATCTAAGCCACCCAGGCGTCCTGGATGAGAGCTTTCTGTGTTACTTCACCTCTCTTGCCACTTTTGACTATGGTGGGAAGTGTTTTTTTTAAGGAAGGGAGGATTCACACATGAATGTTTAAATGTGTGTCTGAATATCCACAGATGCAATATGTGTATTATTTGGATACTTGGTTCTTGATATGTTTAATTATGTGTGGGTTGTTTGGGAGGAGGTTTCCCACGTCTCTGTCACTCCATGTGGATCCAGGAAAATCCATACATGTGTCATACACTGAGAAATAAGATTGCAGTGGCATCTTGTTATAAAAATAAAAACCTCTTAGCATTGCTCTCTTAAAAGTTTTGCCACAATACATAAATTCATTCTAATTATTTAAGAAAAAGAAAAAGGCAGGAAAATTTTAAGGTAAAAGTCCTTATTCCTTTGTTCCGAATCCCATTTGGTTTCCTAGAAGTCCCAAAGTTAATCCTTTGGTGGGATTTTTTTCCCCCAAATCTAGTTCCTACATGCACACAGAGCAATGTAGGTTCCTTTTTGTTTAATTTTAAATAGGCTCTTACTTCATGCATTGCTCTGCAGCAATACAACATCCTGAGATCAAATTCAGTCTTTTTGTTGAACACTGTTAAAGAGTCTGGATATGCCAATATTACTTTGGTAAGTTGATATCCTACACAGTGCTGAAATCTAGCATCCTTAAGTTGTTTGTTCTTCATTTTCTTTTACAGTCCAGGATAAAAGCATTTGCGTATGTAAAAGTAATCCTATTTAGTAAATAGTATTTAGGCTCCTCTTTTAATATATGGGCTGCCAAATTGTTGTGCAAATTAGCACAGTTTTTAAACATGAACTCCTGCTTAATCGAATTAACCTTGTGATCAAACAATCTTTCCTAGAAATCATTCGATGCACACCCCAGGAAGGAGAGCCAGGTGCGGCAGCTTGCATGGGTGGGTGACGGTGTGTGGGTCTCCATTCGTTTGGATTCCACACTTCGTCTCTATCATGCACACACTTACCAGCACCTACAGGATGTGGACATTGAGCCTTATGTAAGCAAAATGTTAGGTAAGCTTCCAAAGCATTCTGTCTATGTCAGTTGAAGAAAATGTTTTATTTTTAAATGGTCTCAAATGCTAGGTAGAACGAATGAATAAGTTGCCTCAGGACTAGTGAGCTCTTATCACTGAAAGTGTCAGGCAGATGCTCCGTGTACCCTGTGGTTCTTGACAGAAATTTGGGATCATTTTTGACTCCTCTCTTATTCCCCACACCTAATCCATCATTGGGAGCTGTCAAGTCTGTCTCTAAAAATATCTTAAATCAGTTACTTCTTTATCTCTACCATTATCCCTGCAGGCCAGGCCACCATCCTTACCCCCCTAGATAACTGTGAGCCTCATAACCAGTCTCTGTCATCCTTACCCCCCTAGATAACTGTGAGCCTCATAACCGGTCTCTGTGTTTCTACTCCACAATCTGTTCTCAGCATAGTAACCAGTGTGCCAATACCACCATGATATACTTATGTAACACCAGCCACTTTTAGAATATTCCTACCTTTAGGTGAGGTGACATTCTGTGACAACACCAGAAGAACTGGTCCAGGGGCCTGGACCACTCTCCTCACTTGCTCTGGTCTCCTCACACTGACCTGAGCTCACCAGGTTCCTTCCCATTTCAGGCCCCTCACATGTGTTAGAGCCTCTGCCGGGGAAGTTCTTCTTGGTCCCTTTTTACTTGGCTTTCAGGCTGTAGCTTACATGTCACAAGGAGTACAGACAGACCTTGCCTGTTCTCCCAATTTGATTAGGTCCTCTCATGCTTTCCCTTCATGGGCTTATTATTGTGGTTGCATACAATAATACTAGATTCTTGTTTGTTGTCTCTCTTCCCCCAAAGATCAGAAGCCCCACGAAGGACAGGGACCATCTCTGGTTTGGTCCCTGCTTTATCCTTAGCTCCTAATCTAGCATTCTGAGTATTAGGAATGTCATAAATGCAAACTAATTTCAGGAACATACTTTTTTTTTTTTTTTTTTTAAAGATTTTATGTGTTTTAGAAAGCGTGCACAAGCGGGAAGGGGTTAGAGGGGGAGGGAGGAGGAGAAAGAATCTGACGCAGACTCTGCACTGAGCACGAAGCCCAATGGAGGGCTTGATCCCAGGACTGCAAGATCATGACCTCAGCCAAAACCAAGAGTCCGACGCTTAAACAACTGAGCCACTCAGGCCCCCCAATTTCAGGAATATACTTTGACCATAGGTTAAAGATCTCTAGCTTAGACTGAATGGAGTTAAGGCTCCTTCTAACTTCTAACACTGTGATCATATCCTCAGTTCTTATAAGTAGAACTTGTGAGTAACTAAATAAATGCTATTTGTCTTAAATGTATGATTATCTGTTTAAGAATTTTCCTTTCAATTCTCAGAAAATAAAATCAGTTGTAAAAATTCCCTTCAAATAAAAAAAGTGCATCCATTCTCCCTAAATTATATGCCTATGATACCATAAAATTTCTAAACTGCTCTAGAATAAAAATATGTAAGCGAGGAAAGATTATAAGTTTTGTTAAAGATTGTTTTTATCTATGCAAAGAAACTTAAGGCAAAGCAGAACTCTTTTAGCTTATAAAAACAAAGGACATTCGATTTTCCAATCTAGCAAACTCTGTTTTTGTTGTTTTTTGTTTTGTTTTGGGTTTGGTTTGGCAGCTCCCTAATTAAATCTTGTGTCATACCTCCTGATCAACAGTATTTTCTTTCTGAATGATAATGTAATGTCAGCCACTTGTAGAATTTTTTTTTTTAAAGATTTTTATTTATTTATTTGACAGAGACAGAGCACAAGCAGGGGGAGCAACGGAGGGAGAGGGAGAAGCAGGCCGTCCACCGAGCAGGGAGCCCGATACAGGGCTTGATCCTAGGACCGCCGAGGTCATGATCTGTGCCAAAGGCAGACGCTTAACCGACTGAGCCACCCAGGGGTCCCAGAATTTTCTTTTTTCATTAACAATGAGTTATCAGATAGGTGATAAAGCCCAATGAAAGTTTGCTTTGATGTGCACCTTCAGGAAATATCCAATTAGCTCTGGTCACATTTCTTCTCTCTTAAATTAATCCAGCCATTCTGAGGGACTTGGAACCTAAAACATCATCTGCTCTAGTTTCTCAATAAAAAATTTTCCCCCCACTGTACAGGTACTGGAAAACTGGGCTTCTCTTTTGTGAGGATCACAGCTCTTATGGTGTCTTGCAATCGTTTGTGGGTGGGAACAGGAAACGGTGTCATTATCTCCATCCCATTGACAGAAAGTAAGTATATTTTTAGCTGACTGTCACAATGCAAACAGAAGAGTTGTAGGGTGTAGTTGTGTCCAGAATTCAGGCAAAAGGAATGATTTTGGTATTGGCAAATCAGGTAATTCAGGAAATCAGGCTGATGACAAAGACCTAACTATTGTTCCTTCATTACTTCTACAACACTTATAAATTTTAGTGAATTAACAGTGTCCATGTGTCAGGACCAACGTTTATAACTAAAAAATGTTCCATTGTGAGAGGCTCCTTTTCTCAATTCAGGAATCACAGTCCTATTTCATTATTTAAATAAAGGCTGAAGTCTGGCTTTCTTCCAGTATTAGTACATCAATATCCAGAAACAGGGCCTAGAATCATTCTGGTTCTTCACAGCCCTCTGGCAGTTACTTTGGATATTCCAATTGGCTTATTTGAGGTTTTGAAAATGTTGTGGGAAAAGTTTCTTAGGTCAGCAAGAGCTTCATGATGCTGGAGAGAAGCCATCTCTCCTGTATGTGAAAAGGTTGTGAACAAAATGTACATTGTATGTTTTTTATATTATGTTTCATTATTGTTATTTTTGTGAACAAAATGTACATTGTTTTTCATATTATGTTCCATTACATTGATTATTCATCAAATGAGCATTTTTGTGTTACAGAAGTCGTGGGCCAGGAATGGGTTGAAAACCAGTGCCATAAGTCCAGAAAATAAGTTGATAACTAAATAAAATAGTTCCGAGGAATTTCCCTACCTTTCTTTAGGGAGAAGGGGGGAAGCTTGGGGGGTGGTCTATCTGGAGCCTTTGAAGAACCTAAGTTCTTAATCCCAGCTATCTTTTGTGCAATTACTTATAAATCTACATGAGTTCATGTCACTTCTTTATAAAAGAGAGTTGCATTTTAGCATAGCTATTTGAACCAGATTTCTTAAAGAAAAGGGGGAAATATTCGCATTTAGGAAATGCTCCCTGATAAATCAGTTCTTCTTCTCTGAAATGGCTTTATAATTAAGAAAAGCAAAATCACAGTAAATCACACTGTCCTTTTTGAGCAGAGTTCTTGTACAGAGGCTTTGGTAAGAACTTTCCGTGTTACTTGGTGTTCTACCAAGTTGGATTTTGTTAATGTAGTGAGGAGCTTAGAAGAGAAGGCGCGAGAGCGGAGGCTCATGGTAGTGCCCATCCCCCTGCCGTGCACCTCTCCATGTGCCTTTCCTCCTCTCTCACTGTAGCTGTAATCCTCCACCAGGGACGCTTACTGGGGCTGAGGGGTAAGTGCAGAGCCTGGACCCAGCTCTTCTTGCTGGCTTCTGATGGCCACTGGGAGGCTGTCCTCCGGCTCTAGACGCCCTCTTGAATGTTCCTAAATGCCATCCACTCAGTCACTGCATCGCAGCAGGTGTTCTGTTGGTTTTGTTTTTTAACGTCTGTTACATGGCCACCAAACTACTGCTCAGCCGCTTAGTGTATTTATCATCTTTTGTTGCAGCTGAACTTTCTTCCAGACTTTGTTTTCCTTCCAGTAAAAACACAACACATCTCTTAAAACTGTCATTAATCTCCATTGTTTACTCTTATTACCGACCATGTTTCTTTCATTCACTTACTGGCCCATGGAATGGGGATGTTTTGTGAGTCTGGTTGTTCTAAAATAATGCAGCAAGCCGTCAGTCTGGTGTAAATCAAAGCTACTCTATTGAAGTGGCTGTATCCTTTTAAATGCAGCTTTTTACCACCCCCTCAAGGGAGATTCTCTTACCACAGGGGAGAAAAATCAGAAGAGAAAACTATGAAATTTTTATTTAACAATATACCCATTTACTTTAAACTGTGTAACTGGTTAGTCTTCTAAAATGGGGATTTAAAAAATAAGTAAAATAAAACACATACCTAAGATTCAAATCTGGTTTTTTTTAAACTAAGTTTGTTTTTGTTTTTGTTTTAATTAATAGATATGTTTAAAAACTAACTGTAGTTATTGCTAGACTGGCAAAATCCCCTACTCCATTTACTGAGGTACTTAAAAATAACTAGCATGCTATGTTACCTTTTTTTCCCAGCTTTGTCTTGAGTTGGCATTGCTGCCCTTGTTTTTACCTCAACTGGCTGTAGCTTTTAGATAATATCATAAGGATTAACCAGTAACATCCTACATCATTACTATTACCAAGGGGAAAATATTTGGTCTTTGGTTTTTCTGTTGCAGCAAATAAAACCTCAGGAGCAACAGGAAATCGTCCTGGAAGTGTAATCCGAGTGTATGGTGATGAAAACAGCGATAAAGTGACTCCGGGGACATTTATACCCTATTGTTCAATGGCACATGCACAGCTTTGCTTCCATGGGCACCGGGATGCTGTGAAATTCTTTGTGGCAGTCCCAGGTGAGTTAGATTATTCTGTCAAGAGGTTGCATATAATTGTCTCTCTTCTGTGACTTGGTTCTACTACCTAGTCTAATGCAAAGAACTGGAATTACAGATAATTCCAGTATAATATATGAAAAGTTATAACGGAGGTATGGATAAAGCACTGTAGGGACATTTGAATGAAATTGTTTTGGAATCTCTCCTCTCTCCCCAAAAACAAACTTGTCGAATTTTATTTAAGAGACCTCGCTTTTGAAAAGCAGTGGTAGGTACTATTTTGTCACCGCAGAATACCAGAAATAATAGTGGCCTAACACTAGAAAGAAGCCCCTGTCGTCAAGATCATATACAGGAAGAGGAGACCGTGCTCCGGGGCCTGTCTCAGTGCTGTGGCAAAGGGTGGCAGACTGGGAGTCCCCGCCTCGCCCTTGCCTAGTTGTCTTGAGCAAGTCACTTCACCTCTGAGACTTGTCCTCATTTCCTAAGTGGACATGACTAATCTCTGTTTTGCTGACCTCATTTGTTGTGAAAGTTAACAAAAGTGCTTTGGAGCTATAAAGCTCCATCTATCTAGATGAAAGGTGGTAGTGGTGCTGTCCAGGGAAAAAGGTTCTATCCATTAAGAATACTAAACTGATGTGACTGACCATCTGCAAGCAGGTCCCACATTTTGAATTCTTTTCCCCCATAAGATGCAAGTTTTGGAGGTCTACAAAGTTCAGTTCTGACTTTGCCACACCAGCTGTGTGACATTGGACATGATAGCGTCTCAGTGTGTTAGGGTTCTTCAGAGAAGCAGAACCGATAGGGTATGAGAGAGAACGAGAGATTGATTCAATTTAAGGAATTGGCTCATGTGATTCTGGGGGCTTCAGGTCTGAAATCTGCAGGGAGTCCGGCAGACTGGAGACCCAGGAAAGAGTTGATGTTGCAGCTGGAGTCCAAAGGCAGTCTAGAGGCAGAATTCCTCCTTCCTCAGGGGACCTCTCTTTTTCTCGGAAGGCCTTCAGCGGATTGATGAGGCCCACCCACATTATGGAGAATAATCTGCTTTACTCACGTCCACTGATTTCAGTGTGGATTATATCTAAAAAATACCTTCACGGCAATATCTAAACTGGAGTTGGGCCACATATCTGTGCACCAGAGCCTAGTCAGGTTGACACATAAACTGAACCATCGTCCTCATTTTCCTGAGGGTGTTGCAAAGATCAAATGATTCAGTGTACATGGTGTGGCTGGCACATGGTATCCTAACCAGTTGCTCAGTATTCTTAACAACATGGTGATGAGCTTCCTGAAACATATACCTTGTATATTTACATAGTCATTTCCTTAGGATAAATTCCTAAAAATGGAATTGCTGATAGTAGTATCTTTTTGCTTTTGTGAAAAAAGGGCCCTAGAGTCCCCTTTGAGTCTCCGTTGTAGTCCTCTAATCCCATTCCCTTCCCCTTTCCTCTCCATGTGCTACTACAGTCCTGAAGTTGACAAGTATCCTGCCATGTTTTTGTATTTTTACATTTGAACAAGTCTATAAACTATGTGTAGTCTTTTTTTGTGTCTTTGAACTTAAATGTTATGTCATATATATATTCTTCAACTCTCTTCTCGTTTTTTTTTAATTTATTATTTATACATAAAAATCTAGTTCATTTAACTATGGCATATTAAAGGTTTCTCTCCCATTTCGTGCTCAAGGATTCTACCTTAGAACTTAAATTTAGAATAAATGGCACATTTACTAGTAATTTTATTTGCATAATCTAAATTATAAATAAGATGTAATTTTCTTAAATATGAGAGGAATATGGTGGATTTAAAATACATTTAAATATTAATTACGCATATCCAAACTCACAGGGCTTACGTTGAAGACCTTATCTCTTACAGAGATGCACGCATACCCTTTCCTTTGTCCCTTAGGTCAAAAGATGTAGATTGTAATAGTCTGAAACAGGCAGCGAAGACCAGCCTGGCCATACACAGATCTCATAATGGGTTTTGGACCCATTCCTGCTTTGGTACAAAATGGCTCTACTTAGATTTTCAAATTGTGTTCTTAGGACCTTTATAGATATTTTCTGATCACATAGAGGCTTCTGCCATTCCCAGTACTTTGGTTGTATCAGAATATATTTACCTTTTTGTTCAACTTTCTGAAAATATTCAGAGAAAATGAGTCTTCCCCACCCCAGTCTGTGATAAGTAACATCCGCTTCTGTTCTTGCACAAATAGGTCAAGTCGTCAGCCCACAAAGTGGCAGTAGTGACACAGATCTAACAGGTGACAAGGCAGGGCCATCTACACAGGAGCCTGGCAGCCAGATGCCCTTGAAGTCTATGCTCGTCATCAGTGGAGGAGAGGGCTACATTGACTTCCGAATGGGTAAGTCATGGGTTCTGGCCACTATGTTCTGTAACTTGGATTTTCACTCATAGTAAATAAGAAACTACTCTTGATAAGTGATTTCTAAGAGGTTTTCTTTGAATTCTTTACTTGCGAAAGGACTTTATATTTCCCCTTTTCCTTATTTCTTTGTTTTTAAGTTTCTTTTTATACCCCACTGTATTTGTTTGAAGGAGCATTCGAGAATAGCAGGGTTTAGGGTGCCTGGCTGGCTCAGAAGAGCATGCAGCTCTTGATCTTGGGGTTGCAGGTTCGAGCCACCCACCCCATGGTGGGTGTGGAGATTACTTTAAAAAAAAGAAAAAGAAAAAAAACACCCTGCATTATCTGCATATAAAATTTGATGAAAATATAAGACTCCTGTTGACATGTATCACCCACCACTTAAAGAAAAAAACAAAAAGAAAACAGGGTTGGGTCATATATGGATGTATATGTGAAGAGCATAAAAAGGAGTCAGAAGGCCTTGGGCAAATCATTCAGCCTCCCAGAAGCCAAGTTTCCTCACCTGCAAAAGGGAGAAATAAAAATACTTCATAAAGTGGTGTTTGTATAAAAATGGATTTTATTTGTTCTTTTTCTCACTTTACAAACACTATTGCTAGGTGCTTGTCAGCCTTGAGCTTGAGATGCAGACACAGATCAGACAAAGCCTGCCTCTGGCTTTGGAATTATGGGAGAGTGCAGAGATAGAAATGTGTTAATAGATAAGTGCCCTGGGTGGGGGTGGGGGGAGGGACAGAGTCAACACATGGTGCTTGAGCTGACAGAGCTCTGAGTAGTGGTAGTCTAAAGAATTGGGTTGGGGAATGAGCAGGATGAGGATTGCTGGGGATTGGCCTTCCAAGGTAAGATAATAGCTTGACCAAAGCCTTAGAAATGTTGAAACCACCTTAATTGAAGAAAAACTATTCTTAAATGGCTGGAGCGTGGAGTAGAGGCAAATGTACATTTGACCAGAGTTAAATCTAGAAAGGGGGGTTGGGGCTGGATTATGGAAGACCTTTATATACCAAATTAAGGAGTTTCCGCTTCTATATTTTTATGTATGTATGTATGTATTTATGTATGTATTTCCTTCCTTTCCTTCCCTTTCTCTGATTCCAGTCTGGTTAACATACAGTGTGTTAGTTTCAGGTGTACGATATAGTGATTCAGCAATTCCACAGATCACCCAGTGCTCATCCCAACAGGTGCACTTTTTAATCCCCATCACCTATTTCCCCATTCCCCCTACCCACCTCCCCCCAGGTAACCATCATTTTGTTCTCTGTAGTTAATGCACTTCTATCTTTAAAGCTAAGGAAAACTGTCAGAGGACTTTAACTAGAAGAGCAATACGAATAGATTTGTATGGAAGATGGATTGGAGGTATAAGACTAGATGTAGGGAAATGAGATAGGAAAAAATGAAAAACTGAGTGGGGCACTAACAGTAGGAATAGATAAAGCAGCATGTTGGGGAATTAGTAACTAATAGGATGTGGGGAAAGGCGGGGTGATCCATTTACTCAGAGATAAAGATTATCAGAACAGAAGAAGCAGATCTGGAGGGGGAGAGAGGAATTTGATGTTGGGCATCACCTTGACCTTGAAGAGCATGGGAGCTGGGAGTTGTCTAGGTGGAAGATGGCCATTGGGCTTTGGGGTATAAAGATTTTATATCTCAGAAGGGGGGATTTGGGGGCTGTTAGCATGTAGTGGTACTAAAAACCACAAGGGTTGATGAGCTTACCCAAGGAGAGTGTGTAGGGGCTAAAAGAAGAGGTTCTAAGGTAGAACCCTGTATTATTGTTCCATTAAAAGAACCATTAGAGGGGCGCCTGGGTGGCTGTCGTTGAGCGTCTGCCTTCGGCTCAGGTCATGATCCTGGGGTCCTGGGATCGAGCCCCACGTCGGGCTCCCTGCTCAGTGGGAAGCCTGCTTCTCCCTCTCCCACTCCCCCTGCTTGTGTTCCTGCTCTCGCTATCTCTCTCTGTCAAATAAATAAATTTTAAAAAATCTTTAAAAAAAAAAATAAAAGAACCATTAGAGCTTATGAAGGGATCTGAGAAGGAATGGCCAGAGGGGGACCACGAAAACAGAGAACTGATGTTTGATGTTTTGGAAAGTGTAGTGTTTTGTAAACTGTAAGGCACTGTGATGTGAACTTACTTATTTGCTGTAAATAAAGGGATCCTTTGGATGTGCCTAAAATCAAAATGATTCAGAAAGTTCGTAAACGTAAGGTTTTAGAGAATATAATGTTGTAGATTGGTGACATATACTTTAGTTATAAATTCTGTAAGAAAGTAGTATAAAATTTAGGGCCATGTAAAGGACAGTGGGCCACATAAAATTAGTATAAACCAGATTATTTGACAGAAAAGACTTACACATTTTTAAGGGAGATGTTAAGGTGAAGTTTAGGAATTGATTGATTCTGTTGATGTCAGCAGGAATGAAGTTACTTCAAAATGTTTTAAATAATTGACTGTTGGTGCAGAATTCCTTGATAGAAAAGGACTCCATTTAGCTGGAGTGATTAGGGCAGCTTTTCCTTGGAGTGCAGCGTAGCAGTTGGAACCATACTAAGGAGTATGTTAATAAAATCTCTGTGGTTTTTCCATGTCCACCAGAAATTGCTTCCATTGTGGATCCTGAAAATAGCATAAAAATTGCTTAGCCAGATTTGTCAGTATCTTAGTTAATCCAGCCTGAAAAGCAGACTTGTCTTAAAACATAGGTTAATTTTAATAGTAAATAATGCTTTTTTTTTAAAAGAAAAAAAATCAAATTTGACCTTTTTTTTTGTTCCATTTCCATTTCCTGTAATAGTTTAACAATGAAAAATTGATCCCAACCATCCCATGGTTTTGGGGTTTTTTTTTTGTTTTTTTGTTTTTTGTTTTGTTTTGTTTAATTCTAGTGTAGTTAACATACAGTGTTGTATTAGTTTCAGGTGCATGGTATAGTGACTCAGCACTTCCATACCTCACCCGTGCTCCTCAGAGCAGGTGTGCTCTTACCCCCCTTCACCTGTTTACCCCAGTCGTCTAGTTTTAGTGGTTTAATTAAGTAGAATGTAGAGCCCTAGGAGATGGTGATTCTAAACAATAGAACCTTCAAAACAAAACAAATACCAACAACCTTTGATCTCAACCAACTAATTTTGTCATTATTGTTGTAATTTTTATTTTTTTAAATTATTTTTATTTATTTATTTTGGTGGGGGAGGGGCGGAGGGAGAAGGACAGGGAGAGAGAGAATCTTAAGCAGGCTCCACACCCAGCACAAGAGCCCAACGTGGGGCTCGATCTCACCACCCTGAGATCATGACCTGAGCTGAGATCAAGAGTCGGACACTTAACTGACTGAGCCACCCAGGCGCCCCTCATTGTACTTTTTAAAATTTAAAAACCAAACTCCAGTTTTTTATATTCTTGAATTTGGTCTTGAGTCTTTGAGAGCATGCACCATGCACAGTTTGACATTGCTGTGGAAGGACCACTAGGAGGTGGGTTAAAGGAGAGTTTGGCCTACAGAGAAAAGTGCCAACTTTTTTTTTTTTAATCAATAGGTTTAGTAATTGATTAGATGCAAATGACAATGAAAAGGAAATTAATAAACTAGACAAAGAAAGGAGAAAATATGCAGATAAAATTTCACAAATAACTAAATCTTAAAACATAAATGAAAAACTAAAGTAATAAAATATTCATATTTTAATATGCCTAACAAAAAACAAAGAATATAGAGATTAAGAAAATATGATAAGGAAAAACTAAATGCTAAGTGACTACACACAAACAATATCCAAAAACTGCTGAATTCGTTTGGTAAAGAATTCTTGTCACAAAACAAGTCTCAATAAGTGTTGAAGAATTAGAGAGTAGATATTCTTTTCATAGGGACATTAATCTCTAAATCACATATTTTTTAGGGTATATTCCTTTTTTAAATTAACATATAATGTATTATTTGTTTCAGGGGTACAGGTCGGTGATTCATCAGTCTTATATAATACCCAGTGCTCATTACAACACATGCCCTCCCCAATATGCATCACCCAGTTACCCTATCCCTCCACCCTCCTCCCCTCCAGCAACCCTCAGTTTGTTTCCTATGACTGAGAGTCTCTTATGGTTTCGTCTTGTTTCATTTTTTCCTATCTTCCCCTATGATCCTCTGCCTTGTTTCTTAAATTCCACATATCAGTGAGGTCATATGATAATTGTCTTTGGTTGACTTATTTTCACTTAGCATAATACCCTCTAGTTCCATCCACATCGTTGCAAATGGCAAGATTTCATTTTTTGATGGCTGAGTAGTATTCCAGTGTGTGTGTGTGTGTGTGTGTGTGTGTGTGTGTACATGTGTGTGTACACACACCACATCTTCCCTATCCATTCATCTGTCAATGGATATCTGGGCTCTTTCCATAGTTTGGCTCTTGTGGACATAGCTGCTATAAACATTGGAGTGCAGGTGCCCCTTTGGATCACTACATTTGTATCTTTGGGGTAAATCACCAGTAGTGCAATTCCTGGGTCATAGCGTAGCTCTATTTTCAACTTTTTGAGGAACCCCCATACTGTTTTCCAGAGTGGCTGCACCAGCTTGCATTCCCGCCAACAGTGTAGGAGGGTTCTCCTTTCTCTGCATCCCCGCCAACATCTGTCGTTTCCTGACTTGTTAATTTTAGCCTTTCTGACTGGTGTGAGGTGGTATCTCATTGAGGTTTTGATTTGGATTTCCCTGTTGCTGAGTGTTGTTGAGCACTTTTTCATATGTCTGTTGAAAAGTGCCTACTTTTAAGGTTTATTCTCTGCCACTGTTTCTAGTTGATACTACCAGTTTTCTTTTGCCCATCTGAAATTCAGGTGAGACACACGGCAAAACTAGCAGATCAGTGGTGTATCTTTGCCCCTTGGTGTGTGTGTGTGTAGGATTCTGTTGAAGAATCTGTCACACGATACCAGTTGTCACTGAGTTGTGTCAGAATAACCCTGTTTCTGCAACAGCAAAACCAGGGATGCACTTTGTAGAGAGGAGTGTGGTTTGTTTGCACTGGGCCTTGGAGAGCAGTGTCTTTGATCAGGACTTCATTTATCCAGTTGACTCAGCTGTTTCTAGGAGAACCCATAGCCTGTCTGTGGCTTTGGCCTCATTTCTTCATCTCCACCATACACCATTAATTCATAATCTATCCTAAACTTGAAAGTCATGGGAAGAAATAACTCAGTATAGGGCATCCTGGCTGGCTTAGTCAGTGGAGCATGCGATTTTTGATCTCAGGGTGGTGAGCTTGAGCACCAAGTTGGGTGTAGAGATTACTTAAAAATAAAACCTTGGGGCGCCTAGGTGGCTCAGATGGTTAAGTGTCTGCCTTCGGCTCGGGTCATGATCCCAGGGTCCTGGGATCAAACCCCACATCGAGCTTCCTGCTTAGCGGGGAATCTGCTTCTTTCTCTCCCTCTGCTCCTCCCCCCAGCTCCTGCTATCTCTCTCTTTCTCTCTCAAATAAGTAAAGTAACAAATCTTTTAAAAAAAAAAAAAAGCTGTCATCCAGTCCATCACCAATGTGCCCTAAAACACACAGATTCAGAAAACAGTTTCTAAAGAAGCTAAATATAATTACAGTCTTCAGAAAATACAAATTCAGTAAATACAGAAAGCATAGGTTAACTTATCTCTCCCTCTACTGTTCCCCCTGCTTGTGCTCTCTCCCTCTCTCTGTCAAATAAATAAAATCTTAAAAAACAAACAAAAAACCCAGTATATTGAGTGATAAATCTGCCATCTCCTAGTGCTGCAGGGAGATAGTTTCTGTTTCCACGGGCTTGTATTGGTTATCTCTGATTGGAGAGCTTTACTGTCACTGACAACAAACATGAGTTGTTTGGGTTTAGCTAGTTTGTGGGAGCGTGGGCTCTAACTCCACGCTTCCACATTTATAGGCCTATGTGGTCTCACTTCTCAGTTTGACATAAATGAGAGAAGACTGTCCATTTGGATGAACATGGGGTCGGACAGCTATTCCTTCTTAGCTTCTCATTTCTGTTAACCTCAGAATGTAGACGTAGTGGGATGAGTTTCTAATGTAGTACATACAGTGAGCTCACTTTTATAAATATAGTCTGAAAAATGAATTAACCTTTTCAGAAGTTGGGCAAGTGAAGGTTCTGACTCATGGCATTTCTTGTACTGTGTTCTCTGAAATGGGAATCGGCCAAGCTCTGTGCATACTGTTGCAGACTAACCCTGAGCATTACATCTGCTGTGTGTCGGCCTGCGTATTCCACACTCAGCCTAACTTGAGTTCCTGTTGTCATCCCCCAGGTGATGAAGGTGGAGAATCAGAACTTCTTGGAGAGGATCTTCCACTTGAACCTTCTGTCGCCAAAGCAGAAAGGAGTCACCTGATCGTGTGGCAAGTGATGTACGGCAGTGAGTGAGCACATCGGAAACAGGTGGAGACAGGGAAGCTGTCTCTTCTGCATGGTTTAGTTTCCCTTTGCCCCTTGATTTAATGCTCTCTTTGTGAAAGAAGTTTCACCACATACTGTGTGAGCATTTTTTTTCCTGTTAACTCTATATTACAGAACCTGTCCTACCATAACAATACAGGAACGAGCTGTGTTACTGCACCAGTGTTCTAGGCAATTTCAGTATGTTATGAACAAATCAAAGAATGTTTCCTCTCTGCAAACTGGTGAATTATAGAAAGCAATCCAGATGTGGTTCACTCTGCCACAGTTCATGTCACTCACTTTGTTTGATACGGTCACTTTTTAGCTGTCACTAATAATGGAATTAATGGAACACGTGATAAGTGAAATTGTACCATTAAGTACAATAATAAAGTTTTCCCCAATGTATTATAAAATTGACACAAACTAGGATTAGGTGGATTATCAGGATTTCTCTAAATGTCCCAGGGGGCTAAAAGCTAACTGTAAATTACTTTAACTTTCACTTTCAAATCTGACAAATCTTGTTTATATGGTATATAAAACCTTGTTTTCATCAGATTTGGGGGGGGTTTTATATTAAAGAAATTAAGACTACACTATTTAAATAAAAGTTTCCTGTTTCTGACTTATTAGAGCTCTAAAGTTTATGAGGCCTGCTCTCTGAATATTCTGATGATTATTTTTTGAGACTAGTCTCACTCATTTTCAAACTGACGTGTCTGAAACGTTTATTATTTATAAGGCTCAGAAGATCGCTTCAATAATGGGAATAATGGGAGGATTTTTTTTTTTTTTAAAGGAAATTGTGTTTTGGGTTCCTGTATCAGTGAATGGTGGTGATTGGTTGAGGTTTTTTTTCCACGTAAAAAATTCACCTATTTACCAATTGTTCTTGGACTGCTCTTCCAGTGAATAATAGCAAAGCTGCAGTGGAGATAGAGTGGCCTATGAACCGAATAAGGGATTTGGTGAGAAACAGTATTTTCTCTTGTTCTGTGTAAAACTACAGAACAGCTAGCACTTGAATCTTGTATGTAAATGCCACCTTTAAGCATTTGTGCTCTTTTGAGATAAAAATGCCATCTTCAAAGAGGAAAACTAGGAAGGGGAAGAAGACAAAGCCAAGATGCCATAAAGTAAAAGCTGACATGTTCCTCTTCTTGCAGGTACCCCCCGTTTAAAAAAACAAGTCTGGGTTTAACTGATTTTCTTGTTTCATAAGTTTTCAGAAACCATTATGCTGCAGTTTTCCCCTCTCCAGCTTCTTGAAAATGTGTGATTGACCATTTCCTTAAGCAATACTAAATACAAATTTTAAGTTTTACTTTAAAAATCTAAGCCTGTTGAATAAAGGCTCCACCCCCACCCGCCCCATTATCAGAAGGACTCCCTGAGGGAAAAGTAAGCAAACACAGGCCTCAGACTGTGTTAAGTGTTCTTAAGTGCCAGGGATTTGTTCTTTCTGAATGTCATGCAGACATAGTTGTAAAAAGTATGCCATTGTCCTTCAAGCATCTACAGGATTAAGCTAGATTATAAATACATGGGATTTAATGAGCTGGAGGATCCGTTTGGCCACATGTGTCTATAAGCACATTGGGTACACAGTAAAGTTGTGGCCACTTTAGATGGCCAGAAGGAAAAACTCCTTTGGTAAAAGCTGTACTAAAAGGATAATTTTTTTGCTTGAGGTATTCGGTCACTTTTCTTCAAGGCATCAAAACTTAAGCCACTTATCCATAGCTTGGAAGCTATGTTTTTAATTTAAATCTGAGCCATTTTTGGCAATACCTAAAAAAAAACCACCCACATTGTTAAACATTTTTGGGGAATGTTGTATAAATTCACCAAAGTGTTTGGGAATATTAGTCCCAAGAAGTAAGCATCCCAGAGTCAGACTCCACTTGCTGTTCAGTCTTTTACGTGTTTATATGACCAAGTGTAATTTAGGAAATCAGGAGTTAAAGGTGAAAAATGCAAACATGTTACAATGGTTCTGATTGCTCTTTTTAAACTTACTGGCTTTAACGTAAGGAATATAGGGGTGTAGCTATTTTATCTAAAGCTGTCAGATTATCTGTCGCCCTGTTAATTAACTTCAGGGACTAGAGAGAGTACAGAAATGCCTGTACGAGTTGTTTTAAGGGCTTGTCCTTATATTTGTAATTTCATTTAAATATTTTCCACAGATTGCTTTAGTTCCCCCTTTTCCCCAATAATAGGCTTATATTCTTGTAACGTTCACTTTGGTCGAGGTGGTAACGTTCACTTCGGTAACCAAAATGTAAGTTTCTTGCAAGCAGCAAAGTGGTTGGTGTAAACTGCCTGTAGCTAGCAACTCAAGGATAGAGAAGAGTCTCGAATACCTTGGGTTGGTCTCTCCATGTAAAAAAATTATAGATTGCCCCTGGTTGGAAGAAATAGGAAGACCCGAGAATATTCTCGTTTTGTTATGCTTGGGTTATGTATGAGGTTGTACCATGTGAAACTGCTGAAGTTCGACCATTGCCGATCTACAAAAATGTCAGTATCCTGTACACCAGCCTCACACTTAACTATGAAATGCAGGTTGAAATCCCTGTGAGGCAAAGAGAGAATATTCTTGAAGAACACCTTTTTGAGAGTGTTTTTCTCCAACCTGTGTGGATCTGAATTTTTTAAATAGGAATGAGTATCTTAATAGATGCAGCTTGAGAGTGTAAAAGATTTTGAGCACAAAGTATGCGGCACAGAACTTTTCAAATTAAGTGTGTTTGCATAGAAAAGATTAGAATACATTCTCTCAGTTGCTATATTGTTCATTTCTTGTAAAGGTCTAACTGCATTTGAGAACAGACCCTTTAACATAGGCTGCCTTAGTAACAAAACAGAGCAAAACAGTTGTCTCATAATATTAACTGTCCTGAAGAATGTGCGTCTTTCTTGCAAATGCTGTGGAACAGAATATTTATTTCCTTGTGAGTATTATGATCGTTACCAAAGGACTCAAGCAGATTTAGGGCTCTTCTTAATTGATCATGTTGAGAAAGGGACTCATTTGGCCCCAGCTTATAACATGGGAAGAGTAGAGAAGAGAGAATTAAATGTGGAAATCATAAATGCTTTTCTAACAGGGTTATGCTATTTTGTAACACTAAATGTCTTTTTCTTTCTCTTAAAAAATTAAGTTTTTATTATTAATTTTGTTGTACGTTTCTCAATATATTTGAATATATTTTAACCATTTTATGTTCTGAATTTGTTTTTTGTCCTAGACATTTTATCCAGACTTTTACTGGCCTCTATAATCTGAAAAATGGGTTCTAGAGTGTCCCACTTGTTGTCTCTTAGAGGCTGAGGCTTCATTTCTATGAGCAAAAAGCTCATTTAGCAATGTAGTTATTTCAGTATTTATTTCTATTATGGAACCCCTGGGGTTCAGAATGTAACTTTGTACATGAAATATATATAAATATGTATATGAAACATGTATGAGGTCCAGTGTATTTTGTTTTGGTTTTGCCTTTTCTAGGGGTCTGAACTTGGTTTTTATTCAGCAGTCTAATAATCTTCCCCCATCAAACATGGCAGGCATTTCTGAGGGCAAGGAGGGTCACCATTTTTGCACTGGCTGAAGGTATGCAGTGGGGAATACATGAAGAACATGTCTGCTTGGCTCACATGTTCAAATGAGATATGAGTAATAGACAATAGGGCTTCTAGAAATGTGGGCGTGCTGAGTAACAACCCACACATGATAGAAGGCATACCAGTTGCCAGGTTGACTCAGTAATGAGAGGCAGGCTGTAATGTAGATGTTAATAATACAGTGTGCTTATTTGTGACCCATTTGCTTGGGAGAGACTCTGGAAGGAAGGATGATTATAAAACTAATCATGTGGTAGCACAATGTGAGTCCATATTCAGTGCAGTGGTATTTAGTCCAATCCAGTATATTTTGTTTACAGGAAACATGGGGCTCTGACATGACAGTAAAAGTAACCCTGATCAGCATATTAATAGGATAGTTCACTTGACGAAGGCACAGCCATCCATCCAGTTGAGGTTGGATGCTCTAGAGTATAATTAATTGCCTGGCTCATTCCTGCTTTACAGGACCTTACCTAACTGCCCCGTGGTCCTCTCGGGCCTGCCAAGTCAGTGTTTTGGAGACTGATGATTTCTTTTCAGCCTCATTCAGTCATTTTACTGATCCCGCCAGTCTCAGGTGAGAAGCCAGAGGAGCAGCCCAGGAAAGGACATGTTCACTTTAGTCTTGTTGAGGAAACGGGACTGGAGTACTGTCCTCAGCTCAGGGACCGTGGCCTGCGATCCCACCCAGTGGCGAAACTGTCTTTCAAGCCCTAGTGGAGCAAGGGCTGCTCCAGCCCCGGGGCCCCCTCCCTCCAGCCCCGGGGCCTCTCCCAGTCTGCGCAGGCAGAAGAGCCCCGACAACCACAAAGGACATGGGCTGAATTTTCTGCAGTGGCAAGTTTGTTAGGAAAGGTTTTGTAGTTAGGGGACTTCTCAGAATGTCTTAAATACTAAGTAATAATACAGTTCGGTTCTAGAGATTTTATTTATTTATTTGGGAGGGGGTAGAGAGCAAGCACGAGTGGCGGGGGGGGGGGGGGGCAGAGCGGAGGGGGAGGGACAAGCAGACTCCACACTGAGCACAGAGTCTGACCGGGGGCTGGATCCCACGACCCTGAGATCATGACCTGAACTGAAATCGACACCCAACCAACTGAACCACCCAGGTGCCCCAGTACAGTTCAGTTTTAAACTCGTTTCCTTTAGACACCTAGTGGTATATAGTTGGAAAGAAGGCTCTAGACCTGTACAGGCTCTGCCCCCTATAGCAACCCTAGCAAGTCATTTAGCACCCCAGAAGCACCCATAAAGACCTAAAACTCCACCCCAGATCTACTGATTCGGACTCTTGTGGGCCTGGACCCAGGCATCTGTGAAGTATCGTAGGTAAGTGTGATGTGTGGCTTAGGCGGAGGAATACTGCTTTAACATCTTTGGACCTTAGGTCTGTCATGTTTTAAAGGGGGATGGTTTATCCAGGCAATCTAAAAAGTCCTAGCTCCAGCCCTCTCTGGTTCTGTGAGCCTGGCTCTCACGCTCTAACTTGCCTTGATGTGTTGTCTGTATAAGCACCAACCAGACCTGCTTGCGGACCCGGGGTTGCTCCGGGCCCTTGCGAGGCCCAGATACCTGGTGGGGGGAATTTAATGACTTAATGTATTTAACGAACTATAGAAATGATCCTGAAAGTATAGTCTTATGACTTAATGTATTTAAAAGGAGCCAGATAGTTCAGCTTCTCGATTTTCTGTCCCAGCAGAAGATTGGCTCCCAGCCACAGACAAAAAGTAGTTAGGATTTGATCTGAGGCTCAAAGGAGAGAGAGGTGGAGCAACATGCCCCTGCTTGGGGAGGGGTGGGGGGTGCGGCAACTTCCTGTAGTAGCTGCAGTTCTCCACCAGACTAGGAGCGGGGGTATGGCCAGACTTGACTGCAAGTTAGTTCCAGAAATCACTTCCTCCTTCCTCTCACCTCAGGGAGTGTCCTACTATTGGAGTATTTGGACAAACAGTTACCCAGGTGATTCTGATCCTTGGATTGGGAACAGCTGCTTGAG